TTTCTTTTTATATATAATACATATGTTATATCCTGTATACGACGAATGTCCATTACAAATGAAATATTACTTGTTTAAATAGAAACATGAAAAATCGTATGACAAACATAACGACAAACAATTAGCGGATTCCAGTAATAAAGATCGGCAAAATAAGCGTAGAATCGATGATATAGAAGATAGTTCTAACAGCAGTATCCCAAGTAAGAAACATGTTACAGCTATTAATGCGATGAGCAATATTAGCAACACCTCAGCTGTTACTATCGGTGCTATTACAATTACTCCTATAACGTCAACCGCAAATTCTACGTCGAGTACAACTAATACAACGGAAACGTCAAGGCATAAAGAACAAAAAGATTCAAAGTCGAAAGATATGAAACGAGATCGGGAACGAGACAGAGATAGAGACAGAAGTCACAATGATAGAGGCATGGACAGATTAAATTGTGGAAAGGATGAACGAATCAGAAGGGATAGCGGTGGTTATAATATGGGCGGACATTATAGTGGGAGTAGAGAAGACGATCATTGGATCTTACCTAGGGATACAAGAGATATGAGAGATGGAAGGTATGCTTTTGATTTTTTTTTTTTTTTTTTTTTTTTTTTTTTTTTTTTTTTTTTTTTTTTTTTTTTATTATATCATATGGAATGAATGTATTTTTATTTGTCAACTTACGGTTCGATTAATTTTTAATATATGTCCGTTTTCAGATTTACTGACCACAAACGTGATAGATTTGAATCTTATGGACGTCTGTCTGGTGGATATCATCGAGATAGAGATAGAGATAGAGATCGTGGTATGCATATAAACGATAAAAGAAGGTTTGTATTTTATTCATAGATTTTATGTATGCATCCATATATGTTTTGGCCTTTTTTCCTAAGGTCAACTTAAATCATTCTCAGTAAGCTGGATTTTAGTAATTTTTACAGGTATCCATCTGGGCCACCGAGCTATGGATACGGTCCAGGTAGCTACGGAAGTGGAGGTGGCGGTGGGTATGCACCAAATGACATGCCACCAAGCCATTTTAGAGGTCGAGGATATCCAGGAGATAGTTATTCAAACGAATGGCGACCTAGTAAGGATTATAGAAGAGATTATGATAGGAGGCCGCCACCACCAAATGCCAATTCCTAGTGCTCCTTTTGGGCGTTCTTATGTATTCTAAAACGGTTATAATTCCGTTATAACGTCATATAATTTTACACGACACAGCACTTACAGTAGTGCTAATTAACAGAAAGGAAATGTGTGTTAAATGTATTAAATTCAATATATAATCCTTTCTGTGATTTAGCACCACTTATGACTTGTAGCTATGTAAAAAGTCGATTCCACTGCTTACTTAACACGCAACAAAATAATTTTACAATGATCAACAGGTGATCGTTTCAGGAAAACTTTAAAGATAGATTGTGCAAAAAATGATAAACTGATATATGTATATATATGATATATATATATATATATATATATATATATATATATATATATATAAATATCAGATATATCATTAAAACATAATTATAACTTTTTTTATATGTTAGAGCTTTTATGAGAGATATTCGTAACAGAGATAATACGCCAGTGATTTCTATCAAATGAAAAATTACGTTCAAAAGTCTTCTTTAATTTAGAAGACATGTCTAATATCTACTGTTATTTATACGTATAACAATTGTTTAACACGAGTAATTCTATAGAACTGAGTTATACAACAGTGGATATAGATATAGTTTATACTGTCATATATCGCTCCAATTAACAAACCAATTGTTTGAAACAAACAAAATGCCTTCCCATCCATTTCATCTCTCATATATTTTGCATTTCCAATTCTTTATGTGTATAGGTTCATTTTGGGTGTGTTACTTAGGTAGTATCATTCATCATTCAAAAATCACTTCATTTTCAAGATTACTCCTTTGATATTTTAAGATATTAGTTCGTAATGAAATAAATTTGTATTAAGGCATGATTTCATTGCCAGTTGGCTGACAGTCCATATAATATGATGAGCATGTTCCAAAAATTTTATCGACTTCTGTCATATATAAATTTTTGCATTTTGCATATTGCGTTATAATTTCGATTTGAAATATGTTGGTAAAGGAAAAATAGTAAGTCTAATATTTTGATTAAAATCATACATTGAAGTATAACAATATGTCTTGTACTAGACAAATCTAAGATTTATTAAAATTTATTGTGTCGTCGAACAAATAGCTATATCATATACATATTATTCAAAGCGATAACTCAATTTTGATCACTTTTTTTTCTATTGATTTTTATAAAACTGTATATCTTGATATAAGATATAGATAACTATTCTCTACGTTTGAGTTAACTCCTTTAAAATACAAGTTTGTATCCTACCTGAAAATAAGAGTGTGAAATAATGTAAATATTAGGATAAGATTAATGGTTGTATTCTATTTAATTGTAGGGCCTACAAGAGAGATTGTACAACAGTTTCCTTTAAACTTGATTAAAATAATAGGAAGAATTGTTCATCTCTCTCAGCCCTGCTTCAATAAAAGATGGAGGGATATAATTAGAGATATGTATAAGAAGAAAAAAAAATTTTAATTATATAATTATAAGACACTCTGAAAGAACTTTGATCTATTGAAATATTTTTTAATCCAACTCTTGATAATCATGACATTTATATAGCACTTTTCAGTAGGAATACCGAATGCACCATTTATCATGTTCTCTGGTGTTTTGTAAAGTATTCCGTTTTTCGTATATCTTATCCATTTCTCTCTCTCTCTCTCTCTCTCTATATATATATATATATACATATATATATATATGTATATATATATATGTATATATATACACACATATATAAATATATATATATAAATGTATGTATATATATATATGCTGAATTTTTGTAATCGCATAAAAAAAAACGAAAGTGATCGAATAGATTTATTGATTTATCGAAAATGAATTCACGTTTACACGACGAAAAAGCTTTATTACAACGGTATGAATTATATTTTACGATTAAACTCATCTTCAATACTAAATACTATGCCTTTATTAGATTGTACAAAAAAAAAAAAAATATATATATAAATTATTTTGTAGATTATTTTATTCATAAAAACTAATTACTTGATAGATAACATTTTGCAATTTTAGTGTGCATTTGTATAAATATTAGAATATATATTAACATATAAGAATCTGGCCAGAGTGATATATATAGAATCTTGCTACTGTATTAATCATATTTTGTGTCCGACATACATATTTGTGAAAAGAAAAATACATGTACGCCACACCGTGATAGAAATCAGCTAGTTTAATTTTTTAATTGCAAAGTAATGTTCTCAAAACACAGCGAGCTATTTTTAATTTATTATTAGCCGTGTACAAGTCATGAACATTAAGAAGATAAACAAACATGTAAATATAAAATAAGAGAATAAAATAATTATTAATTATACAATAAATGATGTAATATCATTTTCTTTATTTAATGATTTAGTAAGATTTATTTTTATTACTTTATTACGTTTTATTTATATTTATTTCTTCCATTGATGGTGATTAACGTGAGTTTCGCGATGATCTGTCCTGCATTAGATAGGACAGAGCAAACGTGCAATTTTCTTTAATGACAAATGTATATAAAGTATATAAATATAAATGTATATAAAGTATGTATATTTGATGATTATTTTTGTAAAAAGAAAAAATAATAATAATAATAATCACTGAATGCATACTTATATATTATATATTATTTTTTATAAAGATCAAAACACATATTTCCTTTCACGATATTTCATAATATAAATATTTGAAAGGATTAATATTATCGAGATTTTTCTCTCAGTACTATTTCTTTTGTAGAATTACTTTATATTATTACAATTATTACCATAATTACTACAGTAATAATATATAATCATATAGTAACAAGAACAATGATAAGGAAAAAAAGTAGAAGAATATATTTATATTTAATATGGTTAGTATCTTTTGCTCGAAATTGTTGATTTGCCATAAACATCATATAATCCTTCGATTCGAGAATGGACACATATTTATTGATGATTGATCCTAAATTTTTTAAAAGTAATATATCAATATTGTCTTTATTATTATAATATAAAATATACATATTTCAATACATTATTATTATTATTATTATTATTATTATTATTATTATTATTATTATTATTGTTATTGTTATTATTATCATTGTTATCAGTCTAGTACTATAGTGAAGTAGAAGAAACGTAGATGAAGTAATTTAGTCGTATAGGGGAAACGCTAAAGAAAAATAAATCGCTGGGGAATTCTACATCATAGGAATAATAGGAATGAACTCATGAAAAGATATTCAACCAAAATTTTATTTTCTTTGTCGTAAATGGAATTGTCACATGTGCGTATTATATCTATTATTAAAAAGAAAAAAAAAAAAAAAGAATATACGTATTGATCAGAAAAAAACTAAATTAACAACTTATTAACACTATTTATTTTAATCTACCGGAAATTAATTGTTATGCATGCTTAAGGTGATACTAATAATAATAATATAGTAATTTTAATATAAATTTATAATAATATAATAATATTATTATAATAGTAGAGGGGACATTAATAATAATAATAATATAATAATTTTGGTATAAATTTATGATAATATAGTTTGAAATAATTCAATTAATTTGTTAATATTCCTAGATGATCGCAAAAAACTATCGGACGAATATAAAAAAAAATATATGTATTTATTCATATGTAATGAACATATATATATATAACTTTTATTTTTAAGAGTCATACTTTTTCATAGTTATTTGTTAAAGTTAGTCTAGGATAAAATCTTGAAATAATAACACAGATATTCAATTGTGTTAAATTTATAAATCAATATATAAGATATAAGAATTTATTTATTTTATTCATTAATTGATTGAATTCTTAATTCGCATAAATAAAAAACAAGGCGTGTCAGGTTACAGGTACGTCGCACATTCATTTCTATCTTGAGAAGATTATAAAGGAAGGAAAATTATAAACGTTTCAAATTAAATTATTATTTAATATATATATATAAAATAATATAAATTATTTTGTAAATTGTAAATATTTTTGCCTGATTGAAGATTTTTTACAGTCCAGTATTATTTTTTTTCTTTTATTTAATCTTTTATGTGTTGCAATGACCTTTTTATACAGTTCAAATCTTACATACTTAATATATATGTTTCATAGAATTTCATCAAAATGAAGAACAATAAGTTGGATATAATAATATTTGGTGCTACTGGATTTACTGGACAATATGTTGTTAAAGAAGCAGCACGTTTGGCTAAAGAAACAGAATTTAATTTTGGCGTAGCTGGACGTAGAAAAGAGGCATTAGAATCTACTGTTAAAGCGTGTGCACCGGATATTGGTAAAATTTATGCATTCAAATTATACTTTATATCAATCTATAAATTGTATTAATTTAACATACATATTGATGACTAATATCTTCAGAATTAGATATGTGATATTAATTTATGTAAATGATATTTAGAAAACGTTCCCATTATTATTGCGGATATAAAGGATGAAGAATCTCTTAAGAAAATGGTAGAAAAGGCAAAAGTGCTTGTAAATTGTTGCGGTCCATATGTACATTATGGCGAACCTGTTATTAAAGCTTGTATAGCTGCCAAAATTCATTATGTTGATATTACTGGAGAACCTCTGGTATGTAATGATTTCATTTTAATATTGGATAAGTTATTAATATGTTTTAGGGAAAAGATACATTATATTCAATATCATAAAAATAATTCTTTTTTATTGATTATTATATTGTATTTTGACTATTTGTAGTTCATAGAAGAAATGCAGTTGAAGTATAACGAAGCGGCACAAAATGCTGGTATCTATATTGTAAATGCTTGCGGTTTTGATAGCATTCCTTCAGATCTTGGCATGGTTTTTACACAACAAAAGTTTGGTGGGGAAGTTAATAGTACCGAAGTATACTTTAATTACTTGAGTTCGAACAATTATAACAAACCTGTAGCAAACTTTACGACCTTGGAAAGTTTTATTTATGGATTCAATCAAAAGGAAAAATTACATGATATTCGTAAAAAAATATTTTCTAAGAAATTACCAGAATTGAAGCCCAAATTAAAATTTAAGTTAGTTGAATTATCGTATAATTGATGTTTAAATACATTATAAAAAAATTATGTGTAGACAATATACAAAATTATTTATTATATATTATAATGTCATTTTTTTTCTTTTTCTTTCTTTTTCTTTCTTTTTCTTTTTACTAGAGGGCTTCCACATAAATGTGCTTTTACAAATGAATGGTCCGTACCATTTCCATCTACAGATCGTTCAATAATCTATCGTTCACAAAGATATTTCTTTGAAAAATATAACCAGAGACCTATTCAGGCTGAAGTATATATTGGATTCCCGTTAGTATTCTTTTATAAATATAAATTTAATAATTAAAAAATTATCCAATTAATCGAACATTTTTCTTTCCTAGATCTCTATTTTATATATTTATGCTGAGTTTTATGATTATATTTTATTTTCTTATGAAATTTTCATATGGATGCAGTTTAATATTAAAGGTAAATAAATAATATAATTAAGAGAGATGATGAATGAGATACATCTCTATTAAAAATATGTTTGTTTTAATATGAAATGAGAAAAGCATTATTTGTTTTCAGTATCCCAAACTATTTACTTGTGGATTCATAAGTCATGAAGAACCAACCGAAAAAACATTAAATGAATTAAAACTATCTTTCACTTTCTTAGCACGTGGTTGGACTGAAAAATTAAGTGAACCTTCTGATGTTCATTCTGATCCTCCAAATAAGGAGATGGTTACAAAAGTTACTGGTGTTAATCCTTACACTATTACTAGTGTTGCTGTAATGTTATGTGCTCTTATCATTTTGAAGGAATCTGATAAAATGCCTGAAGGGTAAATTATTTTTATTCACTATTGTGTTTGTGTTTCGTAATTTTATTTACGTTAAATAATATATATATTTTTTTGTTTATTTTAGTGGAGGTATCTTTACTACTGCTGCCGCATTTAGTAAGACTTCTCTTATCGATGAATTAAGCAAAAAATGTCTTAAATTTGAAGTTATTTCATCCATTGAAAAATGAAGGTATTATTAACATATTACAGGATAAGGTCTTTCAATATTTTTTTCGTATTACTTATCGTTTGTTACTTATCTTCAATGTAATGTCTGTGTTATAAATTTAACTTTTCGGTTTTGGTTTTAATATTTTTACAAAGTAGAAAAATAATTTGTGATAAGAGTTAGAGTTAATGTTTTATAAACACATTTTGATATTGTATTATTTACTATTGTTTATAACAAACATGAAGGATATAAGTTAACATGGTTCTCTCGAAGATATTATGGCTATTAATTTTAATATTATGGTATTTTATGATTATTTACATTTTTACATTTTTATTATGTTATAAATAAAACGTAAAATGTTATTTCTTTTATTTCAATTATAATTACACAATAAAGAATTGCGAATTAAGAATAATAATCATAAGTATCGGATTCGTCCCGATTTTTGGTAGATGGCGTGATGACAAAATTGGCACGAACTTTCCGAACAATCCAATATAAAAAGAAATAACTCTTTCTTTGTACAATTATATGAAAGAGAATAATATACAATTTTTCTTTACATTAGGATAATTAATTCCGAGAAAAGTTATCGTTCAAATATATTTCTATTAATATTTTAATCCGATTAATATGTTTCATTTAATTTACTATTATCAATCGATTATAAATTTTACATTTGGTTTGTATTATTGTAAATAACATTTGGAAAAAATATCACATTTGTTGTCAAAATCCGATGAATATAAAATATGAAGCTTGATGTATATAAAATATAAAGGAAAGAGATCTATCAAAGTAAATATGGACAAAGGGAAAGTGGACTTTCTTCGTAAATTATAATCTGTACGACGTCATAATATCGTTATCCTTGTTGGTCATAATCTCAGAGCATAACCAATAGGTTGGCGACACTGAAAACCCAATGTATCATATCTACGGCATTTTACGTATGTAGATACCCAGGTAGGCACATAATTACTTTCAATAATTATTTACTCGCGTAATTACTTTCATAATTATTTTCAGAAATGTACGGATCGTATCTTACATATTTTTTTTTTTTTTTTTTTGAAGGAAAACTCGCTTGAGGAAATATGACTCATTCTTTGTAATAAAATAGATTGCTTTTTTTTTTTTTTAATGGAAGGCCGACCACAATGGCGGTCTTTCATATTCAAATCAACCTTCGAATCGACCAATCCAAATTTATTATCTCGAAAGTATATTTTATATATTCTATTAACCTTGCCACATTAATTATATTGTATTTAGAAATACCTTAAGTATCGTTTTAATGACTTTTCATTCACTATAGTATATTTAGTATATTATAATATATTTACTATAAATATGGTAATATATATACGTGTATGTATGTATATTTATGCATGTTATGTGAATATATACATATATCTTACATTTTATTAGAGATTTTATAACTGTTTTATAATTACTTTTTCGCAGCTAAGTAGACATTATGTTAATGAATTCTTATTTCTTCTCAAACATGTTAATATAATGATCGTTTGATAGATGATAATGGCAATGATCATGCAACGGTATTTAATCAGTTTCCATTAAACATTAAATTCATAGTATAAAGTCATATAATACATGGTCACTTAAATGTTCCCTCATTTATTCATTTTTAAATCTTACATTATGCTTTTATCACCATTTTTATTGTTAATTCATATCCAAACGTTAATCTTCTTATATACTTTCTTTAATAATTTATACTCCTGTTAAAATCTTCATTATAATTATGATTATATTTATTAACTATTCATTAGAATTTCTTTTCTTTTATTTTTAGAAATTATCAGAAATTGGTCGATGTTACGAAGAATTCAATCAATTAATAAGTCGATTAATGAGTCACTATTTTAACAACATTTCATTGCGATCTATTAGCTCTCCGAAATGATCTAGAGTCGGTGATCTTTTGTAAATATCTGAACGAGTTAACGAGAAAAAAAAGACAGAGAGAAAGAGAGAGAGAGAAAAAGAGACGGAAATAAACGAGACAGGACCTAGAACGTGATAGACAGATAGAGGTAGAAATAGATAGATAGAGAGAGAGAGAGAGAGAGAGAGAGAGAGAGAGAGAGAAGATATAGGGAAGTACAATTTTATTTTACAAAGGTTTTTCCTAGACGGTGATATATAACGGAGACACGTGAGACATTTCTGTTGAAGGAAAAAATGATTCTTTCACCGTTAATTCCCAATCGCTAATCGATTTATTATATTTATTATGTTTTACAAATATTTTATAATTGAAAGGAACAATATATAAATAAATATAATTCTAGTTATTATATGTAACAACGGTATACAACAGGTAACTAGTATACATTGTAGAGTATTGTCGTGGTGATGGTGGGAGAGAGCGAGAATCCGTTAAGGAAAAACAAAAGAGAGTGAGAGGGGGATAAGGGGCAATTTGTTCCGCGAGTCAAGTTTATACGTCTCTGATATATAAACTGTCTTGTCCGAAACCAATGTAAGTTAGTTTGCGCGCTTCGTCGTGAAAAGAACGTATTATAAAATTATCTCTTGGTTTTCTTTTTCTTTTTTTTCTTTATCTCTCTTATAGATTTTCAACTATTGAAAATATGGAGAACATTAAAATTCAAAGAGACGACGAAAGTTATGCTGTTAAACGGAAGGACAAGAACATGACGAATGGTAAAAATTTTTCTTATAAAATTTTCAATTCTTCATTCAACGATATAAAAAGATAAAAATTATCAATTGAAAATCTTATCAATCGATGATATACTTTTGGATTAGTTTTTCTTTTTCTTTTTCTCTTCTTTTTCTTCTTTCTTTCTTTCTTTAACTAATGAAAAATTTCGATACATGGGGACGCTGCAACTTGTAAAATTATTGATTTTCAAAGATCACCTTAGTACGATTTTTGACACGCCCTATTTTATACATTTGTACTTTATATTATATAATTTTGTCGTTATTGAAAGATTTACTCTTTTGATTGTGTTTTCTTTTCTTTTTTTCATTTCATTTCTTCAAAAGAAATGAAATAAAACAAAGAAAAGAGACATTTCGACAGTTATGAGATCGATAGCTAATGACTTTTATCGAGGCCGATGGTAACGATTGTTTTTTTCTATTGAGGGTGAGAATAAAAGCGATATACAATACTAACTGACCTCGTGTTAAGTCAGGTATGACAGGTGAACGTAACGAATTATATACTTATGTTCGTGACATGGGAATCGTGATATCGATAGAATTGCTTTCGTTTCTTTGATGTAAGTCCAATGAAAGCTATAAACAATCTTACCTGCAATTACTTTCGATAGATTCGATCTATGCTTTACTTCCGATATCTTTTCTTACCCCTTCTCGTCGAATTCTAATCTACGAGTTAAACATAGATTTTATAAGATTCTTATCTTTTCTTTTGTCGAATTTTTAAAAATAAAAAAAAAAATAAAACAAAATAAAATAAAATAAAACAAACCAAAAAATACTCGAAGTATAATGAAACGCTCAATAAGTATGTTAACGCATTGTCGATGAAAGCTTTAAATCGGTGTCTTATATTTGTTAAACATTGAAAATATATTTGTAAATGTTTGATTGGTATATCTTTATAAGGTAGAAAATATTTCTATGATTATTGAAAAAAATGCTACTGTCATTAATTTGTATTCTTTCATTAATTTTTAATAAAAAATTTCATTCTTATCATGCATATATAAATATATATAAATATATAAATATATATATATATAATATTTACATAGTTTTTACATAAATAGGCACATAAGCGTATCTGATATATTTTACAAAAAATATTCATTTGATAGTAGGATCGTGTCGATAATGTGTTAATATTGATTTTTATCTCTTGCATAAAATCCTATATAAATAAGCTATAAAAGAATTATATAATGAAAAAGCGAGTTGTTTTATATCATACTTGTTGCTTTACAGCATATTGCCATTCAATAGTAAATAATTACCTTAGGAGATTTATATATCGAATTGCATTTGATAATTACATAAGTAGATTATGGTTAGAGGGAATGGTAGTTGTATTATCGTTGTCATGTAACGATAACACAAGCTCATACGTTATTTTTTATAAATAAATAAAAAGTAAGTAGCCTTCTATATAAATAAAAATCGTATTATCTAATCGATTTTCTTCTTCTTTTTTTTTTTTTCTCTCTTTTTTCTTTTTTCTTTTTTCTTTTTTTTTTTTTTATTCGATAATTACATACCATTAAGTCTCTCATTACTATAAAGTGAAAAATTACTTTTATATAACATTAAAAATTCTTTTCTCTGTCGTTCTTTTCGAAGGACTCCCAGTTATGTTTAACATACAACAACAATAAAAAAAACTTGCTTCAAACACATTACTTCGGGGTGTACTCCGTGTGTGGGTAATTTGTCATTCAACAAATGTATTATTAATATGTTCACGTAGTTGCGTGAGATCGACCTCGGACTACTTACGAATCATTTTATTTCGCGCGATGATTCTTCTTTCGTATTTTTTCTTTTTCTTTTTCTTTTTAATCGACATGCCTGTCGCACCGATACTTGGTATTATTAATGCTGGATACTCTAAAATGTACTACGATATACATACATATATATATATATATATATATATATATATATATATATATATATATATACACAAACGCGCGTGCCCGCGCTCGCGCTCGTATAAATAGATATAATCTCTTTTTAAAGACTTTAGGTAATATAACTTTTCAAACGATCGTCACGATTGTTAACAAGATCTCAGTGATTAAGAATATATCTGCTATTTTCTTTTTTTTTATCATATCAATCTATACGTATATCCACGTATATACATACATACACAACGAAGTTAAATGTAACGACGATGTTATTATTAATGTATTAATGCATCGAAAAAAAATTGACTTACTGAATATTTTTGTAACACGTTAGCGAGTTTACAAACCCTCTATCGATTCTAAGTAGCTAAAGTCAATTGTGCTCAGACAACTTTCAGTAGTGCGACTATGAATGCGGAGACGAACACTCGATATCTCATTGTTCCTTTTTTGCTATTCAGTATATGTCTTCTTAAAAGAGTTAACGTTAATCTAATTCATTTCATTTAATTTCAATTAATATGTCATTTTCTTTCATTTATTTCTCATAAAATTTTTGAAAAATTTGACAAATTTATCTTCAATCGTAACTCTAAACGTTTCTAATATATTCAATAGATATACGATCTTTCTTGTCTAATAGGGTCTTCCTAGAATATCATTACTAGAACGTCTAATAGATAGGAGGACGAAGTGAATTTCATTATCGACGAAAAGGATCTAACGCTTTTAATCATTACGATGAATAATTATCGATGATAACAGACAATAATAAGTTACTTTCGTAATATTTTCGAAAATAGTAATATTTTCTCGAAACGATAATAATATTGCGACAAACAATCATTCGGGTCAATTATTATTTTATATATTTATTTATATCTTTTATTTTTCTTATATCATATATTTATTTTTATATTTAGCTCTCGTAGAGATAAGATAAATAAAATATAATAGATCATTGCCAAATAAAAATTTATTTATAAAAAATTTTATATATATATATATATATATTTCTATGAATAGAAATGATATTTGTATTGAGGAAAAAGAATGTCACTGTTTCGAAAATAATCATTTCGGATTATAAGGAAATATTTTGCTTTATTTTCCTTCTTAAAAGAGGAAAGTGAACGCGAACCGGTCTTCTTAAATGGGATTTACTGTGACGTTAATACTCTGGACTTTATTGCAAATGATTTATATTGCATATTTCAACGAACAAATTAGCGATCGATTAGAATTTATCGACAAATTTGCGATATTTGATTTCTCTAATTTCTTATAAAATTTTACAATGTACAATTTAGCATTAAAATAGAGCATCAATAAATCATTTTTCTTCTCTTTTTTTTAATTTTTTCTTTTTTTTTTTTCTCCTCAATTAACGTAAAGGACTCAAACAAACCGTAAATAAGAATAGAAATTATAAACAAATTTATAATTTGCTTACGATAAGTAGTCGATAGACGACGATCATATAAAATTTACATCTGTAGATATTATTAATTGATGATTTATTAATTACTTGATAATTAACTAGCGAAAGATAAATCGGACAATTTTTATAATTTTTCGAAATCAGAAATTGGAAGATAAAAAATATCAATAGATGATTTTTTTATATTTTATCTCGTATTTGACTCGGTGTCTATGACTTTTGCGAGGAGATCTCTCCAGTAGAGGAGGAAAATGTGAAGAGCTGAGAATGTTGAGAAATAAAAGGAACGTAAAGAGAAAGAGAGAGAGAATGAGAGAGAGAGAGAGAGAGAGAGGTGTCAGAAAAAAAGAGTAGGAAGGAAACAAAGGTGGGAGAAAGGCGAAGAGTGAGTTGAGCTGCAGGGTAGGAGAAGGGAGGGGGAGAGAGAGAGAGAGAATGTTCCAGGGGACGTTAGCGTTCGCCGTGATTCTGTTCATCCGGTTCAGTCACACCGCATCACTCCGGTGAGCGTAATCGTTCTCCTCTTTACGTTTTTAACTCGGCTGCTGTTTTTCCTTCATCTTTACTCTCACTTTTTTGGCTTTTGTCACTTATTATTAATACACACGCGCACGCAATAAAGAACAGTGTTTTTAATTCCTTTTTTTTTATTATTTCTTACATTTCGCTTATCGGATCATTTTAACGTAAAAAAAGATCTTTTCGATTTGACGTTTTAAATTCTCTCTCTCTCTCTTTCTCTCTCTCTCTCTCTCTCTCTCTCTCTCTGTCTTTCTCTCTTTATCTATCTATCTATCTCGTTCCTACGATAATTTTGACATTGCCGTTTATATCATTGATTTGAGTTTGTGCGTGTCAAACTGACGTTAGAAGTGTGACCTGAAAAGTATATAGAGTAAGTTTTTAACTCAACATTCGTAAATTCGTTAATTATTTTTGAGAAACGTTAGAATCAATTTCTGAATAGAGAATTAATTTAAGTTATAATATTATCGTTGTACGTTATATGTCTTATGTTTTATTTGACGCCTGTCAAATTTTTGTTTATAATCGGATATCGTTTGTAACAAAGTTTCTTCATCGTTCCTCGATAGATCCTATTCGATGTTATTTTTTTTTTTTTTTTACTTTTCTTTCCCAAAGAAAATTCAACCAGCAAGAACATTCGTCCCAACTCTAAAGAAGAAAATAAAGGAACGATCATGAATGGACTATCTAAACAATGTATCACCGATGAGAAGTCGATTAAATTGAAGAAACCCCATCCACTGAGGTCTATTTCTTGGAATAAAAATATCGAGGAAGGAGATTTAGATGTTCCTGGAACGCCAAGAACACCTCGAACCTCGACAACGCCAGGTATACCTAATTTCCTGGATTTTTAAAACGATTTTACGTGAACGTCGAAATCGAAATCGAAATCGAAATCGAAATCGAAATCGAAATCGAAATCGAAATCGAAATCGCCCATCCCATCCCACACCTTCTTTTACTCGAGGAAATTAAATTTCTTGTTTTGTTTTTTTTTTGTTTTTCTTTTTTTTTCCGTTGTCGTTAATGTTTCCTGCGTAATTCATAAGATATTTCTCGACCTGTTGCGCGTCGACTTAAATTACCATAATTAATATTCAATAGCGCATGAACCGTTTATTATCATAAACTGCAAATGATTGAAATGAATTATTTTCTGTTCTTTTTTTTTTTTCTTTTTTTTTCTGTTTTCTTTTAAAACAGAACAATTTCTTCTAAAGAAATTTGCATTAAATTATACAATTGTTAAATAATGCCAATATAATTTCTAGATAATAATTTAATAGAGGATCTTGAAAACAACGTGACCATGACTTCTCTCTCACATTATTATTTTTTTAATTTATACTCTCGTTAGAATTATTATCAATCCTAATGTTATAAAATCATTCGATCCCTTTAATCTATTTCATGTCGATGAGGAAGCTTTAAAATTAAACAGATCTTTAAAGAATAATTGTATTTTTAATAGACGGCATAGATCATTATGTCGAGTATCTAACAATTTCAGTTTAAATAAATCAAGTTTGTTTTCTATTCGTAGACGAAATGATGTTTAAGATAATTGATTAAATAATTGTAGATAATTGATTTCTCATGGATGAAGTACGATCTAATGATATCTATCGATGAAGCTGGATCTAATGGAATAAAAAAGTAATGACTAGTATTCATAGAAATAAGAACGAATCGATAATTCGTTTATAATACTGTTCGTGATTCCATTCAACAATTTAAATTCGTTTCTCGATACATTCTTCGATATCTCTTCTACCAATTGTAAGAATATTCTTAATCACTTTAATTCTTCATTGTGATTTAAAAAACGATATGAAAAAAAAAAGGTGTTTTCGCATTTTTATATATCGCACTTTAATACATTGTTTTGATATAATCGAACGAACGAATATATCAATGAGTCTAATAAATCATTTAATAATATTAGTAAAATCAATTGCAAAATACGATTTACATTATTTTTATCTTTTATGTCTGGTAAATAGACAAAACTTGATCTTAGATAACAAATTGGATTTTTCCTAAAGCAAACAGTTGAAATTTGATTCGCAGACGTTATAGAAAAAAAAAAAAAAAAAAAAAGAAAAATTAATAAATAAAATTAAAAATAAATAATGAACTTACGAAAGCAAATGATCGTTCTCTTAGACAATGAGACAACATTTTTTCCATGATAAAAAAAAAAAATCAATATTTAATCTTTTTAAATACCCGTAGATCGAAGAGCGTCATTGTGAACCCGTGAGACATCGTCATAGGTCGTGACATGCGATATAGAGCCGATATTTATACGCTTATACGATATTGCCAATTAAAAAAAATTCGAAGATAATCGTTTCGTAAGACTAGAGAAAGAGAACTATCTAGAGAAAGTTGTGTATAAAATCAAAATTTCACATTATGTTTTTAATCTTTTGAATCGAACTTTTCATAAATACAACTTATTTTGGTGTAATACAGTCTGATCAAATAAAGAATCTTAAATCTGATGTAATTTAAAAAGTTTTGTTATGTGTGAAAAATGAACTTGAAATTAATACACACATACACACACACACACACACACATTCACACGTAGGCACGCACATTACACTTTCGTTTGATCGAAGTGATCTGTCCAAGAGTCTCTAGATAAATGAATTAAATCGATTCTCGTGACGATCGTCTTATCGATCGTTTAATCGATTGTTATGTCGGTCATGTTATCGAATGTCTCGAAAGTATCGAATGACTTCCTAGAAAATACGATCCAATATGTTTTGGAAAAACATTTATTGTCAAGCTTCTAATCTGTTTTATCTTGCTCTCTTGAATATATTATTATCAAAACGATATATATTTTGACGGAGTTCCGCGATAAAATTTCTGACGCAACAATATTAAATTTTGTTTGCAGGTCACGAAAACTGTACCTTCCATCATGATTTAGAATTGGATCATAGACCACCTACGCGGGAAGCTTTGCTACCAGAAATGTCAAGGAGTTACAAATTACTTCTAAGTTCACTTGGCGAGGATCCTGATCGGCAAGGACTTTTAAAGACACCGGAAAGAGCAGCCAAGGCGATGCTTTTTTTTACCAAAGGATATGATCAGTCTCTCGACGGTAAGAGAAACCTTTTTTGATGGTGTCCTATACAGAAATATAATATATTCTATGCTGAACGATATTGCTTATATCGTGTGTGCAGATATTTTAAGTTGGCATAAGTTCAAATCGAGCGATATATATATATATATATATATATGCGTGTGTTATTAATTTTCATTATCAAAATCTAATATTGGATTTTACATTGCATTTTAAATATTTAATAATATAATTGATTATCACTGTAAAACAAATAATTCAATTTATATACTCTTTTGCACGTCAATCAGAGAATTATAAAAAGGATAAACATTATAATATTAAATATAACATTACTTAACGTTATTCATTGAGAAAATTCCATATCTTATTAGAAATCTCTAGTTTGTCGACAATCATTGCAGGAATTGTTTTAACTTCCGAGTATTTCTTCTTTCTTTTTTTTCCCCCATTTTTCTTTTTTTTTTCTTTCTTTTTTTTTTATTTTAAAAATCGTTACGAAACAAATTGCCATTGGGATTCACGGCCAAGAAGAATGTTGGGAAAATACGTTCACTCCTGCGTCTGTTCGGCCGACTTTGACTTTGACATTGATCACCTACTTTGGTGAAAGTAGCTAACGGAATTCGGAATATTTTTTTAAGATCCTCTTTTTTTGCCTTTTTTGTCCTTTTATTTTTTATTTTAGTTTCGATAATTATTGGCGAATAAAGTAGAAGGAAAAATTCGAGAATGGTAAAAATACTTCGATATAAAGAAACGATAACGATTAGAGATTGACATTTTTTTTTGATTCCTCAATTTTTTTCTTGTCCCTTTCTCTCTCTCTCTCTCTCTCTCTCGTTTTTTCTCTCTCTTTCTTTCTTAGGAGTACAAAAAAAAACGAGATATCGAACAACGTGCACTTTTATCTTGCAATAAAGTACCGTATTTCTTTTCTTTTTCTTTTCTTACCTTTATCTCGCTGACGTTACCCTTGTCGAATGAAAAAGGAAAGAGAAAAAGGGAGAACGAGAAAAGAGGGTGCGCGTACCTAAGTGCGCCTTGGAAAAGGAAAGAAAACGTAAAGCTTTTGATATAAATGCTTTTCAGGGACGTAGTTACAATTGCGAAAAAGAGGGAGAGAGAGAGAAAGAGAGAGAAACATTTTGCTTTTACAATTAGATTTATTTATTTCTTCTTTTTTTTTTCCTTTTATAATCTCGTTTAATTCCTGTGTGATTTCGTAAATGAAAAGAAATTTTTCCAAGATTTTTAGAAAAATTTTCTTTTGAGAAATTTTCTAATGGAAAGTAACGTATAAATTTATTTTCATTGATATCACGAATTAATTTTTTGATTGGATGAATTGATTAGATGAAAGATACTCGAGACACTTTCCTAACAAACGTCAGACAAATTAGTATGGCCATTGATCGAGTTAAGTTCTCTTCTCTCTGTCTATCTCTCTCTCTCTCTCTCTCCCCCCTTTCTTTCTCTCTGTCTCTCTCTCTCCATCTTTATCTATCTCTCTATCTCTCTCTTTCTTTCTTGAGTAGGTACAAAGGCAGGGGGAGAGTTTAATTCATTTTACGATTCGAGTAGCTCTTCTACAAATCTTTACGAAGATGCACTTCTACATGTTCCATTTTCAAGATAAGTTATCTTCTTACAATTCGATAAATCTTAAACGAAAAAGACACGTTATATTACTTTTTAATGCAAAAGCCTATCGATCATTTTCTTCGATATCATCTCCGATAGCGTTATTTCCCATATATATATATATATATATATATATATATATATATATATATATATATATATACGATCGTTTTTTCATTAAAATCAAATTTCACGCGTATTACGTCGATTGGAGATTTCACGTTCTCCTGTTTGACGTCAAAGAGAGAAAAAATAAAAATAAAAAAATAAAGAAAAAAAAAGAAAAATAAACTAAAAGAAGAAAAAGAAAAAACAAGAAGAAGAAGACAGACAAAATTTTGTAAAATCAATAATAAAAATATTAACGTAACATCTATATTAATGCACGAGTTTTTCAATGAAAATTACGATCGTTTGATTGTTCGTACTTAATGGCTTGTATTGTTTTTAATATAATTACCGAATACAATTATTCGCGATATCTTTTGTAAAGAGAATTCTCTACTTGGTTGAATAGAGGGTGAATAATACGTCCATCGTTGTCGGTCATTGCGAAGGTGTTTCTTGTTAAGGTTGCCGTGGAAACCATGAAGAGAGAGAGAGAGAGAGAGAGAGAGAGAAAGAGAGAGCACCCTCCATTACCTACCTTCCAACACATACTAACCACTGATACACCTATTCACCACCACCGTTTCCCACGTTATACAGTAAGTAGGTCAATATCGGCTAAATCACAGACTAGGAACACGAGGACCTTAACCCACGTACCTTGTACTAGGATCTTTTCTTTCAATCCTTCGAATAAAACATTTTCTCTCTTTCTTTCAAATATGTATAAATTTATGACGAGAGAGAGAGAGAGAGAGAGTTACAGATAACAAAAGATTTATTTAAAAAATATATTATATTGTATCTTTAAAAACACAAATGAATTTATATATCTTTTCTTTTCTTTTTTTTTTTTTTTTTTATCTTGTCACAGATGTCATTAACGATGCCGTATTTGACGAAGATCACGACGAGATGGTGGTAGTCAAGGATATAGAAATGTTCTCTATGTGTGAACATCATTTGGTACCCTTCTATGGAAAAGTATCCATCGGTTATCTACCCTGTAAGAAGATACTTGGTCTCAGCAAATTAGCGAGGTAAAAACAAAAATGAAAGAAACGACGTAAAAACAAAAGAATAATTAAAAAAAAACATTCACACAGACACACACATGGAAAGAAAAAAGGAAGAAAAAAGGAAACAAAAAAAATATGATTCGAAATAACGATGTAATAGATCTTTTGAGATCATTATTAATGAATATATGTTAATTAATGACAGGCATCAACATGTGTTATTACATATAGATTTTTTTTCTTGTTTGTTCGACTTTTTTCCTTTCTTTTCGAATGATTTAATTACAGTGTGTTCCTCCCTGTTGATCTGGAACATTGTCGAACAATACACGTTAGTAAAGAGCAAGAAATATGCATATATATAGTAAATACTTTCACGTTATGGTGATCGCTCGAGCGAATAGTCGCTCTGTTTACACATGAAATTCAATCTCGAGTAAACAATCGAACAAAAATGTAACTATGGTTAAAAAGAAATATTTACGATCAACGAATGATTATTACTTTTTTCTTTTTTCTTTTTTTTTTTTTTTTCTTTTTATAAATATTTTGGAAGATCTCAATCGTAATTTACTATAATATTTGATTGCACTTTTTCTTTATTTTTTAATTAAATAATGGCATATAATTTTTTGTTCAATCTTTTTCGTTCAATTATTTTTACAGAATCGTAGAGATCTTCAGCAGGCGTCTTCAAGTTCAGGAACGTTTAACAAAACAAATTGCAATAGCAGTTACGAAAGCTGTGGAACCCGCGGGAGTGGCCGTTGTGATCGAAGGAGTGTATGTATTGTATCTCTCTCTTATATATTTATATATATATATATATACGTACGTATGTATGTATATAAAAATACATGCACACTCACGTACATATATACAAGCAAACATATGTAGCTTTGATCTATTCTAATTACTTTTTTTTATTTCCTCATTATCGAATGTAAGAACAGCTTTCACGTAGTATCATATTGAGTTTGAAACTCGACCTTCGGATTTTATAAAAATACTTAACACCACGTTAAGTGCCACGGAAATTCTTAGGGAAATCCCCGTCAAGCCACGCAGCTGCGTATAAGCGCTGGTATTGCGGTATAGCAATGCGAAGCGCACTACTAACGGATATAAAATTTACTCGCTGTATAAATAATCCTGCAATGAATAAAAATGATGTAAATTTTAAATAAATTTTCAATAATTACTTTAAAATGATATAAATTTTTTAGTTTTATATCATATTTTACACTGTCAATCATCAATGACTGACATGGTCTAAACGAACAGTTCAGTGTCAGTCATCGATAACTTACGTGGCATTCAACGTGTTAATTGTACATTTCACAACGCGGAATCGGTTCTGAGCGTTATGTTGTAATAAAAAATGAACCAAGTCGAATTCCTCTATGTTTAATTCTGGTTCCATTTCAACGCACTCGAGGCTTGGGCAACAGTTTTCGCAAGGATTAATCTTTTACGTACTATTTCAACCTTGGTCTAATAATTTATTTTATCGTGAAAGAATTTTATACCTTCTCATGCACTTAAACGTTTTCTTTCAACTTTGCCTTATCGATGATAGGATTAAAATAATAATAATAATAATAATAATAATAATAATAGCTATTTATATTTATATAATGACAGAGTATTTAAATAAAGATTATTAATATTTATCCAACTGATGTTACATGAAAGCATAATTACACGATTAATAATATCTTTATATCCGTCAGCTTTTCATTTTTTTTATTTCTCTAGGGTGCGGAAAGGATTAATTATCTGTACGATTGCATTTTAATATTTTTACATATTTATCGATAATCTTACACCGATATTTTTCTATATATAAAACATTCATTTGATTATACCGTTCTAATTATGCATTCATGATTACCGGAATCACTTATATACATCTATTGTATTATATAATATATTAATATACTTATGCAAAAAAAAATTAAAGGTTACATTCGCTACATTGGTTAGATAATGTTTGAAGATTAGAAAAAAGAAAAGAATGCAAATGTTTTTTTTATTTTTATTTTTTTACGAACAAAGATATAACTGAAAGAACATTAACGAAATCGTTTGTTCGAAAAACGGCATTAGAATATACATGAAACAATTATATTAAAAAAAGTAATGGTCTTCATATTTTTTTACAAAAGAGTAAAAAGAGAGAGAGAAAGAGAGAGAGAGAGAGAGAGAGAGAGAGAGAGAGAAATGGATAATTATTAATAAATATTTATAATCGTGAATTTATTAATATATATTTTATATTATTATTTGCTATTATCATTATTATTATGATTATTATTATTATTATTTTTATTATTACTGTTTTCATTATCATTATCATTATCGTTATTATTCTAAAAAAATAAAAATGATATAATAATAATTATGATCCGAATAATGGTAAAAACATAATTTTATCTTTTTAAATTTCAGACATATGTGTATGGTAATGAGAGGAGTACAGAAAATCAATAGCAAGACCGTTACTTCAACGATGCTCGGCGTTTTCCGTGACGATCCAAAGACTCGTGAGGAATTTCTCAACCTTGTCCATTGCAAATAAACGATAATATCTTTAGGGAATTCTTATTCGGCGTTCCTTCATCATCATTTATATATATATATATATATCGGTCTTCCTATTTGTGTGCTGTCGTAGTATTTTTTTTTTATTTTCTTTTTAATATCTTCTTTGCTAATCTTAAACTCTCCTTCCGAAGTTTCTTCGCGATATTCAATCGAAACGTTTGCGAATAATGATCTATATAAAGATCTATATATAACTAGATCTTCCAAAGTGAAATATTATTCTCAATATTTAAACGGAGATGTACATATAAGGAAAAAAGAAAAAGAAAAAAAAAGAAAGATGATATTCATATGTTTATAAAAAAAAAAAAAAAAAAAAATGTCGGTTTCCTCTTCTCTCAATGAAATTCCTTTGAGAGTTCGAGACTTCGAGAATTCGCGAGTTTAAAACCCAAGGTGTTCGAAAAAAAGAAACAAAAAAAAAATAAGGAAAAACAAAAAAGCCAATATGATGTTTGTAATAACATTTGCAATCGATCGAATAAGAGAAACACTGATATTTAATAAGGAAGTCTATTTTCTTTTAGTCGTTCGAATTTGCAAATGATTAATGTATGAACGAATGAGAGAGAGAGAGAGAGAGAGAGAGAGAGAGAGAGAGAGAGAAATTTTAATCGAAATCGAATAATAAGCAGAACTAATAATACATAGATTGATATATTAGTAACAACAATGTGCTGCTGGTACAGCGAATTTTTCTTCGACGTTTTATAGTTATTTTATATATCATTGATTTGTCAGTTCCTTTTTTCTTTTTTGTTTTTTAATTTAATTTTATTCTTTTTTTTTTTTTATTTAATAATAATAATAATAATATCAACGATTTGCGTATTCGACATAATTTGCGTTGCTTTCACGTGTTGTTTTTATTTTCTCAATTAAACAACTGTCATTGATAAGGAAATAAAAAAGAAAATAAAATAAAAAGAAAAAGAAAAAGATAAAATAAAGAAAGAAAAAGAAAAGAAAAAAAGAACGAACTGAAAGAATTCTTAATGACAATAATTTTTTTCAATAGATAGAGAATCTAATGGAAATGTTACCTTAACGATAATAAAAGAGTACATGTTGCAATATTATTTTTTGTAAATGTCTGATTCATACGATTATTGCAAAACGTTACGATCGAACGTTTTGATATTCAGAATCATGACATCGTATGTGTGTATATATAATGTCATGATAATATCTTGACATAATATGTTTCTCTAACAGTACGTATTTTTTAAATATACTTTAGGAAAATGTAACAATAACAACAACAATAATAATAATAATAATAATAATAATAATAATAACAATAATAATAATAATAATAATAATAATAATAATAATAATAATAATAATAATAATAATAATAATAATAATAATAATAATAATAGTAATAATAATAATAATAAGAACAATAATAATAATAATACATTTAAAAGCCTAAAAGATTGTATAATGCATTAGTCGATACACAATGCTCAGCCATGCATCGTTGTCGAGTTATGCAGTGATCATAAAGTTTCCGTGAATTTTTTTTGAAACTTATCATTTTATCTGTTGATTCATTAAAAAATAAAGCGTGAAAGGAAAAAAGAAAAAAAGAAAACCGCGTATATTAAAAATTTATCACGAATATATTTTTGTTCGTGTAAAGAAGAATCGCTTTGAAAAAATCCTTCTCCACAAAAAAAAAAAAAAAAAAAAGAAAAAAAAAAAGAAAAAGTACAGACAGGATTAAAGGGATATTTAGTGCCAAGCCAGTTTATGTAGCCATATTTTTTATGCGAACTAACGATAATTTATTTTTATATAATAATGTTGATCAATGATAATAACAATCTCGATAGATAAGAATTAACAAATTTCAATGGCTGCTTTATTCGCAGAAAGAAATATATATATATATATATATATATATATATATATATATATATATAAGGTAATTTTATAAATCGTTGCAAAATTTGTAAGATCGATAAAATCTATAATTTAGAATTGATTCAATCTATAAAGTAGAATTTCATAACTTTTTCCTAGCCAAATACAAAAAAAAAAAATATAATACATGCACGCATTTATCGATCTTCCAATATTTTGCAAATTATAGATTGGATGTTGTTGTTATTAAGACTCGACCAAGTGAAGTTTTGGTAAACCTTAAGCGTTTATTTTATTTCAGTCAATGTTAAATCGAAAAGATGGGATATATTATTGATTATTTATGAAAAAAAAAGAAAAAAAAAAAAAAAAAGAGAAAAAAACGAACGTTTAATATTTATAATATTTTTCTGGTGATATATATTATATAAAATTATATTTATATTTTAAATCGGTTGTCGTTTATCAATTCTTAATCCCTTCAATTATTGTATAGTAATAAAACAATATGATAATAGTATATTATCATAATCTTGTAAATCTTGAACATGGAGGTATTTCAACTTTCTTCATAATCGGTGAACCACATGGACGTGGCGATAATCTTTCGTTTGTTCTGCATACGTTTTCGGCATCACCTTGATGCAAGAGAAAGTACATGCTATTGTCAGAATTTTGTCGATTTTTTCCTGCAGGACAACAGGGACTCGCACAAAGCTGTTTGATCATGGAATCACAATAATTGTATTTCCAATTCTTTCCATTTTCATTTTCATTTTCATTTTCATTTCCATTTCCATATCTATTACAATATTCTTTACTTGCTGGACGTGCTGGACAAGGTCTTTTCATTTTTACTGGACATGGAACAGTGTCTTCGCTAAACTCACGAGAATAGAAGAAATATCAATAATAGAGATATAATTTGATAAATTAATTGAATCAAATAATAAAAATTATACTACGTAGTTGGTATAAAGGACATTGGACATGGAGCACAAGGACTACAACATGGTATTGGTGGACAACGTAATACTCTCAAAGCTTCTACGTTAAGAGATGATACTCCACGTAATAATGCTCGCTGTATAGCATTCTCATAATCGATTTTTTCTTTCATCAATCTTGCATTTTCCTTTCTAAGACATCCTATCTCACATTCCAACTACATTGATTTAATAAAACATATCGAGATTGTTTTTTATTAGAATCAAATAATACGTATTTTTATATATGATTTGGATATATATATATATATATATATACCTCTATCTCACGTCTCTTTCTTTCCTTATCCTTCTCACGTGTTTGTACTTTTGTCCTCTTCATTTCTTCAATTTTTCTATTTTTTTCGATTGATTTTTCTATTGGAAAATCTTCCGTTTTTGATATTTTTGCTATTGGTGAATTTTTCGTTTTTAATTTTTTTGCCATTGAGAAATCTTCAGTTACTTCTTCAACAGGATTTTCAACAGAATCGTCAACGTTTCCTTTCTTTATTGTTTTTTCAATTTGCTTCTGCTTTATTATAAATTAATAGATATAGTTTATATATATATATATATATAATTATTGAAATAATATAATAAAAAATAATAACTTACTTTTTCTAAATATTTTTCTTTTGCAGCCATGCATTCAGCAAGTTGTTGCTTAAGTCGATTAATTTCAGCCATAAGATCTGCAATCTGTTTATTAAGCTCCTTTATTTTATTTTCCTTATCAGTAATTGCACACATCTGTGATAATAATTCTCCTTGTAAACGTTCTATATCTCCTTTGCAAATGTCTAACTTATTTTGTACCGTGGTACTCCATTGTTGAATTCTTCCTAGTACGTCGACGATCGCCAACTTTTATTATATATAAAGAAGAAAGAAAAAAATCATTTTAATTAATATTTATTTTAATTTAAAAATATTTTATTTATTTGTCTCTGTCTGATTTATTCATGCCTACAGGATTCAACCTTTAAACCGTGTTCGAAGTTCTCTCCTAATGTTGCTAATGCTTTGCCGGCATCTTGAAGATTTTGATGAGCATAATCAATTATTTCATTGATCTTAGTATTGCTGTAATTAATATTGTTACTTATTTATTTATTTTTTTCTTATATAACTGACAGAGAATAACAATGATATTCAAATTACTTTATTAAATGTGTTGCACAAACGCAGCATGGACCACTTGTAAGATCCATTTGATTGTCGCTCAAACCTGATTCTTGTATAGGAAATTGTTTAGATTCTTCATGATCATTTTTAGAATGTTCTTTAGTTGATTCTACGACAGGTTCTATGGAAGCATCAGGTTCTATGGAAGCTTCAGGTTCTATGGAAACTGTAGGTTCTATGGAAGCTTCAGGTTCTATGGAAACTGTAGGTTCTATGAAAGCTTCAGGTTCTATGGAAGCTTCAGGTTCTATGGAAGCTGTAGGTTCTACGTTATTTTCTACCGAATTTTCTACACTTTCATTGATATCTGCTCCACCGGTAAGACGTTCTCGTTTTATAATTTTCATGTGATTAGATTTGCAATTAAATCTTGTCATTAATTTGGAATTAGTAGACAAATCATTTGATATTTTACCATCGTCACTAATCGAATACATGGCTATGTTATTAAATAAATTATATTAGATTTCAATATATAATATATAGATATATCGTGTATAGACTCTAGAGGCTTATAACTTACTGCTTTTATATAATCTTAATGGCATTTTTATTTTTTTTTTTTTTATTAACGTAGAAAAATCAATGATTAGGAATGATTCACAAAACTTGTTAATTTTTATAGAAATTTATCTAGAACATTTCACCTTACTTGGTTATAAACAAGAAAAGATTATATTAATTGTTCAGAAAGTTATAGCATTTGTTTTTTTGTTTTTCTTGCTTACAAAATTTTAATTAAATTTATTAAAGATTTTACATGGAGTAACAGATATTTTTTACACGTAAAGCAGATAATATATCACCAAAATTCTTATCTACTTTATATATTTTTTAAGAAAGATATAATTCAAAATTGTTGTTGCAGATGTAAAATGTTAATATTATCTTAGATAATTCATATAATAATTCTAAGTTTAGCCATTCTGTAACTGTACACTGTAGCCAAAAGAATTGTATTTTGATATAAAAAATTACTTTTATATCAAACCATCAGAATAATTCAGCTTATTTGTACATTATATTACACATCAACGTTCGAATTCTTGATAAAAATAAAAGTAGGAAAGATTTATCTATAGTAATAAACATTCTCTTAATGCATCATTTCTATGATAGTAACAAACTTTATCCAATATCTTAAAATAACATTATAAAACTATTTTCTTTTGTGTACAAATTGCACACCATCTGTATGATTGATCTTTTAATTGGATGTAATAAAAAATTGTGGAATATGTTTCCATTGAATTTAAGAATAACTGTAAACATAAGATGCATTTATACATAAATTTAAATGGACTTTTTAGGTGGTGGCCTAAACACACCAACTACTACAGCATGGTCCCTCTCATAAGGTTCTAGTGTAATTTGTTCCTGTGGTTTTAATTTATCGGCTATGAGTTTCTTCACTTCTGATGCAAAAACTGCTTCTGGTTGAGCAGTCGAATCTATGCAGCTTGCCTACAATCATATTAAAAAAAATAAATAAATAAATAAATAAAATTATAACATGTTATACGGACTAAAACAATATATGTATATACAAAAACGAACCTTAATAGAAATAACAAAATGACCTCCATTTTTAAGAAAATACTGAGCATTTAAGGCTACTATTCTAGCTTGATCTGGCTGTGCTACGTCTGCAAATATCGTGTCTACCATTCCCATAAGCATCCTGTATTTATGAGGATGCCTAGCATCTTCTATTATAGGAATAATATTTGTCCTTTTCTTGGCTACATTTATAAGATCTCTTCCAGATCTGTGTGAAAATTCTACCGCATATACGAGTCCTTCCTAAATATAAAAATAATAAAAATAATTCATATAATAAATCCAATTTCAAGAAAGAAAACATATGCATACAAATATGAATATTGTATGCATATCTTTTCAAAAGTAAAGGAATACTTTACCTTAATAAAAAAAATATGCATGTAATTATTCTAGCATAACTTCGACACCAAATCAATGATTAGAAATTAATTTGGCTCTAATGTATGCATACGTTGATATTCCATTAAAATTTCTTTTTTTTTTTTTTTCTTTTTTAAATAAAACAAAAAGTTCTTACAGGTCCAACAACATCTGCAACATGTGAAACAGTAGTTCCCGATGCAGCACCTAAATACAACACTTTGCTTCCAGGAGGCATATGAATCTGATCTACACCTCCAAGAATAGCAGCAGCCAATTTAGATCTAAAGGGATTCCATACTCTGTATTCAATCTTTTCACCATTTTCTCCCTGCAATTTATACATATTTAAATATGTATATATATATATATTTTTTTTTTTAATTATATATTCATATCGACTTTTTATTAAATATTATTTGTTAATTAATTACCTCTACGCTAATTCTCTTTTCACCATAAACTTCTGAACCAGGTACCAGATTTAAAGTAACTAACGCGTCTTCTTTTCCTCTAGCAATAAAGACACCTTCGTGACGATGAGGTTCTATAATAACAGTCTTGCCTCCTTTGAATCCTCCTCCTCCTCCTCCACGACCACCTCTTCCACCACGTCCTCTTGGAGTACCTCCACCTCTTCCACCTCCTCTACCTCCTCTACGACCACCTCCTCTTCCAAAACTACTGCCTCCACCTCTCCCACCACCACCACCACCACCACCACCTCTGCCACCTCCACGGCCACCTCCTCCTCTACCTCTAAAACCACCCCCTGGTGAAAACCCTAAAATTGTAAATATTAAAATAAAGTAAGAAGATAAAACAATGATTCATTGTAAATAACATAATAAAGTTGAACAAAATTTATAAAATATATATATATATATATACACTTTCTCACATAATTACTATGTTTTTAATAAAACATATGTGATAATATACATTAGAAATTGATCACGCATAATCTAGAGTAATATTATTATTTAATATTATTAATGAATCAAATAATAAATGCGTTAGTTCGAACAATAATGATCGCAATGGAAAACAACATTCTTAAATTTGAGGTTATCTAAACAACGTTCGAAATAATTATTATATTATTTGTCTAGATTTTAGGGGGGAAAAAAATAAAAGAACTAAAACAATAAAATAAAAGCGTCAAGCATAACTTACCTGGTTTCCCCATATGAGTTATGTCTTTATTGTCACTTATTATTGAACTTATAAACTCAGTCTAAATACTTTCTTGAACACGTGCGTCACCCCGGTGCGACGCCGATCCGGTACGGAAGTTACATTTATATCGAAAACTGACTTCCGGCAATTCGATTATCGATACTATGTAACCACTATCGAGACGACGTTATATCATACATTTTATCGTAACGTGTGTGTGTGTGTATATATATATATATATGTATATATATATAATTAGGAATTATATAATACACACAGACACGCTCACACTGATCAAATTATTATTATTATTTTATTTATTGTATATGAAGTTATTCTTATAAGTCAATTTAGAATTATCAGAATTACAGACTAGACAGTAGATATTTTTTAATTTTATATTTATTAGATATTCAAATTATATATCGCTATACTTTAACTTTTTTCAATTTTATAATTGATAATTCATTTCTTCAAGTAAGTTTCTGCAAATTAAATCATACACAAATACAAAAATAATATTAGAATATTTACTGTAATGATATAAAAAAAAAATCATATTTGAGAATAATGAATTGACACTCACATTTCTTTAAAGTGTAATCTTTCTGCTGTTAACGCAAGCTTTCTAATATGCCTGATTGTACTTGCTGCAGCAATTTGTACCTCTGGATCCTCTGAACCGATCAATCGTAACATGTGCTAATAAAATATAAACATTATGTGTATTTATAAATTGTGTTTAATGATTCAAAATCATATGTATTATACCTTTATAATACCACAGCTATGCATGGTTACACAATTCATAGGATCTTTACTTAAATGATACATTGCTATACAAACACCTTTAAGGACAACCTGATTTTTGGTATTCATGTAACCAACAAGAGGAGCAATGATTTTAAGTTTACCAAACTCAGAACTATTATCATCCCATTCGCAACAATAAGCAATAGCTAAAGTTAGGTTAGCTCGTAGATCCTCATTTTCCTGTTAAAAAAAAAAAAAATAAAATAAAAGAATGAAAAAAATAAATAAATGCTTAAAGCTTACAAATATTAAAGATTATAAATTTTTGAATAATTTTAAATTAATATTAACCGTTTTTGCAAGACTTGCTAATTTTGACACCACTCCATGATCTGTTAATATACCAAGATTTTCAGGATCTAATGCTATTGAAGCAATTGTAGCGCAAACAGCACTGAGTACTTTAGGATTGGTACTATCCAAAAGACTGACTGTAAGTTCCAATCCTCCTACAAAAGCTCGCACCATTTCAGGAGAATCTTTAGCATATTTGATGCATGGGACTAAAGCTAGACAAGCATTTGTCTTAATAACATCGTTCGGATGTTTTAAAAGGGACCATATTAAGCGAACACCATCTAATTTATGTCCAGGATCATTAATAATATCCATACATTGTGTATTTTCTGCACATTCTTTCAATACTAACGGTATATTTTCTAATAATGGTTCATAAGTAAAACTCAACAATTTAATCTGTTTAAAAATTATCAATTTTTAACTTTTAAGTAATTCTATAATTCCATAATTGCAATGCTATACATATAAAGACAATACTTACTAACTTTGGTAATCCATCATGTGCTCTTAAGATATCTCTATTTGTGGGATCTTTGCAACATTCAGCCAATGCTCCAACTACATTTGATAAAACATCTTCTTCTTCATTTTCTTGAAGAAGAGGAACTAGAAATGCTACTAAATTGTTTTGATTAAATCTTTTTACATTCTCTGAGCATACAGCACATTTCCAAATAGCACCTGTTACAGCGATTAATAAATGTTTATTTGCGCGTACATTTTCATCTTGTATAAGTTTACATAAAGGATCTAAACCACCAGCCTCTCTAACCATATTGCTAGTTGTTTTATTTATCGCACATTTAAATATTGCTAAGGCACAGTTTTCTTTCAATTTCATATCTTCATTTTTCAAATGATATACTATATCCGCAATAATACCCATTTGTTCAAAGGCGAATCTGCAGACTGACTAATATTTTAAGAGTATTAATAAATGAAAAGATTTATGATTATGATATTAATAAATATTACCAGATCTGCACATTGCTGTACAGTTCCCATTATGGGAATTATTAAATTAGTGTGAACACTCTTTAAGAAACGTGCCATATGTTGGACAACTCCATACTTTTGAAGTTCTGCTTTAATTTTTGGACTCTTTGCTATAGAGTTTAATGCTCTAGCACCACCTACAGCAACTCTGAGTAATTCCTTTTGAATATTATTTAATTCATCAAAAGAGCGTTGAAGGACGTTATCTGGTATATCCATAATGTCTAGCTATTAAAAATGCATATTGTATATACATATATATATATATACACATACACACATATATTTAAAACTGAATTAGGCAATAGATAAAAAATTCTTACTAATAGAGGTATGCCACCACGAATCCTAATCTGTTTTCTAGCTTTTCTTATTCGTGCAATAATAGCCATAATTTCAGCAGCTAGTATCTAATAAAGAAAAAAAAAATTTCTTAATAAATTTAGCGTAACTAAATTAATAAAATAATTTCTACAAATGAATAAAACTAACTTGAATGTCTCTAACGGGATGTTTTAATAATTGAATGAGTGATGTCACAATACCATAATCAATAAGAATACGGGACATTTCACTTGAAGTTACTATTACAAGTAAAACTGATAAAGATCCATTTTGACATTTGATATCATTTGTTTCCAAAAGATTAACCAAAATTTCCAATCCTCCAATTTTTTCTATAGTCTTTTGAACTGCCTATATTTATACCAGAAGATAGAAATATGAATGTGCATATACATATAATAATAAAAAGTTAATTAGAAACTAACTCTATTTGTAAGATCATAATCTTTAAGTAGACATAAACTTATTGTGGTAGCCGTTTGATTTCCAGCTTTCATATATTTTATTAGCTTTTGCATAATCCAGAACTCGGAGGAAATATCTGACACTTCATTTTTCAAAAATCTCTCATCGTCCTCTCCTTCAGATTCTGGTTCATCGTCTGAACTTTCATCCTCCTCCTTTTCTCTAACATAATAAATTTTTGGACCAAAGGGTTCACCAGTGACTATAGATATTAATGGTTTCATTTGATCAATTTCTTTTATCTCCGTTACATCTGGCTCAAATCTATTAGAATTCAAATAAATTATATCAATTAAATATATTAATTCGTATAAAAGATATTATATGTAAAAATTAGAGAATATTAAAAATATTACTCAGGTAGAAATGGTTCTGGTGGAACCAATATTTTTTGTTTTTTTGGTGGCATTTTGTTTCGTACTTTTATGATATCTTTTTTTAATAAATTAAATAATTAAAATACACCATTATCACTGACATATTGTAAAGCAACGGTGTTTAAACGAACATAAACGAATTATTGATCAAACAATCGTTCGATAAGACGATTTATGTGAATCGTCGGTATCTAAACAAAATGTCAAATAAAAGTTCAATTTTTTCTTTTTTTTTTTAAAAATGCATTTATTTATCAATCTTTATATGACACGATGTGTAAAAATTTGTTTATTTTTTCTTTTCCTTTTTTTTTTCTTTTTTTTTTTTTTCGAACAATATTCAATTACGTTCAAGACAATCGTAAAGAATTCTTATTTATATGACTTGTGCTTTATTAAAGATTCTTCCTCAAACATTTAATTCGCAAATTAGAATACCTTGATTAATTAATAATGACCTAGCACAGTTTATAAAATTAAGATTTTTGTTGCAAAATTGAACATTAAGTAAATGATATATGTATATTATCGATACGGATTAAATTGTAATGTTTGTTGGTGTGTATTTACATTTCATTGATTCCAAGATTCATAAGATGAATTTTTATTTAAAAATTTGAAGAATATTTAAAAATAATGGAGAAGCAGTTGTTAAGCTTTTTATATCCTACGCAACTGTGTTGGTTAAAAATTATAAGAAAATGAGATAATTAAAAAATTATGATAATAATAATAATAATAATAATAATAATAATAATAATAATAATTTATTGTATATTTTTGTTAAAGTTTGTTTCACTTTTGGATTTTCAGTTTCATGAATTGTTAATGCGTTAACAAAACATTACTTTAGTACAAAAATAAAAAACTGAGAGATAGAGAGAGAGAGAGAGAGAGAAAGAGAGAGAGAGAGAGAGAGAGAGAGAGAGAGAGAGAGAGAGAGAGAGAGAGAGAGAGAGAGAGAGAGAGAGAGAGAGAGAGAGAGAGAGAAAGAAAGAGAGAGAAAGAGAGAGAGTGAGAAAAAGAGATGAAATAATTTAATTTATTTTTATAAATATCTAAAGATCATTGAGTCAAAGGAATTTCTAGTTTTACACTCTTTCTTTACAATGTTTTTTTTTAGGTCCTTGAAGCTTTGCACAATGCGTAGGAACATTATTATATAATTTTTGTTGTGAAAATGTTCATGTCACTAAAAAATAAATTAAATACACTATCTCAATCCCCTTGAGAAATAGGAGAGCCACGATCTCGTTTAGAACCTTTACCCTTTCCCTTTGATTTTGTTTCTCTTTTTCTACTTAAGGAAGATGTAGAAGTGGTTGAAGTAGAATCAGCAGGACTTGAATGGCTAGATCCTTCTCTGTCCCATCGTGCTAGGGCATCTCTTAAATTCTGTCCATCATTATCTTCATAAGTATCCACATCTACATGAAGATTATCCTGACCAGTCTGTCCACTTTTCTCAGATTCTAAATTTGCACGCATTTCTTTCCTTTGATCTTCTGTATGTTGCGGACAACGCATAGACCTTGTACAAAGCTTTTTTGTGTGCTCAGATATTACACCGCATATCTGCGTTAATAATGCTCTCTTATCCTCCAATGACATATTTTCATAATTAGACGGGGAATTTTCATTGCTGCTATGGATATGTTCATTAAGATTATCACCATTTCTTTGATTGTTCTTCTGTTGTTTCGATCTCTTCATTCCATTACGATCCTTCCTTCTCTTACGTTTATCATTATTTAAACTCCAATCCACATCGTCGTCGTCATCACTTATTACTCCACTGAATGTACTAAGATCTTTAGAATTATTAGCTATTCTTCTTGATGCTATACGCGAACTATTACGACCCATACCCATACACTTTTCTAAATGCGTTGCAAATCTACAAGCTGCTACACCCCTATCACAATTCGGACAATTACATTCTTGAGATTTTTTCACTGGATGTTGCCCAAAGACATCTAATCCTGGCGAATCTAAAATATAAAAATTTCTTTTATTAATATATATATATATATATATATATATATATATATTGTTTTTACTAATTCCTAGTCATTGTCTAATCTATATTGTACTATCATATAAACAATTTATACAAAATTTATATGGATCTATAGATTTATATAATAGAAGTTTGAACTCACCTACAATAGCATACGATTCGTCATCGGGGATACCTTCTTCAACGTCAGAACTTCCCGTTTTTGTGGTTCTGTGTACATCAAAAACAAAACCCATTAAAACTTCGTCTAAGAGATCCTCGTAAATCTCTTTAGTAGCGTTTTCTACGTTTTCGGACTTATTCATGAATTCCAAAAATCTTCTATTTAATTCTTGGATTCTTTCTTCGGTAACAGACATCTTACAGGATGTGACATTTGAGAAAAGCCAAGTAATGAGACTCCAAACTTCCCACCGTGTTTATATACTCGACGTATGACAGTTCTAACCCATAACAATGTGCGTGATCTTCGAGTTGTACCGTGTCATAAGGATACTTGTCAGATGCAACCCTAATATCAAATTTTTGACTAATCTTCCAAATTAGAAATGGACGGATATACGATGTATGACTTTGTGATTAATGATAAGCAAATTTGGCTAAAAAATATCAAGGGTATTGTACAAATTAATATAATCTATGTATGCATTTCTCTTTCTCTATCTCTATCTCTCTCTCTTTCTCTCATCCTAAGAATTTCTTGAATTATCATTCTTATCTACAAATACATTATCTACAGTCGGTAAGTTAAACTTTGAACTTTTTCAAACGAAATAATTCTTAACAGTTCGTTCTTCCGAACGTCGCTGCTGTTCATCTGTGATGAAGTGAAATAATAAAAAAGAAAAGAAAAAAAAAAAAAAGAAAAATCTGTGATTCAAACAAATGAGCGCGAATCCTTTTAAGCGATTTCAGCGACGCGAAGCGGCAGATCGTAGAATCAAGTATAAAGATTAATTATAACACTTGGAAATCTTGAATTAGTTAAAATTTGTATAATGGCACGTGGTAAAAAGCCTGTACGTGGTGGAAAACGAAAATATGACAGACAATATGAGCCCCGACGGAAACAGAAGAAAGGAAAGTTTAATTTTAGAGAAGCATCGTATGTTAAAGAACGTGAATTGAAAAATGAACAGATAGAAAATCGTAGGAGGTTATTAGAGAAGGAAAAGGCACAACGAAGGGAACATGAAACTGACAGTTCTGAGGAAGAACAGGAGGATTCTATGAAGGTATTATTAGCAACATTGTCGGATAAAAAAGAGCTTAAGAATTTTGCTATCGAGTCTGAATCCGAAAATGAACAATCCGATGAATTAACCGACGCAGAAAGTTCAAACAGCGACGATGATAGTGTTCCAAATGAATGTGACAATGAAAGCATATTAATAGAAGAAAATGACAAGGAGATAGACGATGATAATGACAACGACGACATGGTAATTGATATTAAGGAAGATGAAGAGGAGGATAAGGAAACTGCTGAAGAAGATGCTGGCTACTTGAAAGATCCTTTTTCTATACATTTAAATCATGATTTAGACGATGATCTTTATAAAGTCATTTCATGTATACCACAAGTTATAGAGATTACAAAATTAAATTGGCCAATACTTGGGAATATAATCTGTGAAATACCAAAGTCAGAAACAAATTCGAATAACACTGATAAAAAATGTAAAGTTTCTGTTTTAGAAACAAAACAATTTGCTCGGCAAGGCAAAATTCCTATATTAATTGAAAGCATAGATTGGAATAATCTATATATAAAATCGCAAATCCAAGATAATATTACAAATGCAAATTCTGATAATATAAAAAATAATCTAGATACTAATTTAGTTCCATTAACTAAACTGCAAAAAGAATTGTTTTCCATAATAAATAATTATCAGGATTTATATTATCCGGAAAGGACCTTTTCAAATGCCGAAGAAATTAGATTTGTATATTGTTTACATGCAATTAATCATATATTAAAAACTAGAACCAAAATATTACATCATAATGCAAAAATAGCTAAATCTAAAAGTTCATCCAGTGCTGATATTCCAGATGAATATAGAGATCAAGGATTGGTCAGGCCAAAAGTTCTTATAATCGTGCCTTTCAGACATTCATGTTTAAAAATTGTGGAATTATTAATTTCAATATTAATTGGCGTAGATAAAGGAGGTTCAGTGATGAACAAAAATAGATTTATGGAAGATTTTAGTGGAAATGAATTGGCTATGCCCAAGAAAAATCCTAAACCAGAGGATTATGAATTAACATTTCAAGGAAATACGGATGATACTTTTAAAATTGGTATATCAATTACAAAGAAAACTTTAAAACTATATTCAGAATTTTATTCGTCCGATATTATTATTTCATCTTTATTAGGTTTAAGGATGTTGATAGGTGCTGAAGGTGAAGCAGAGAGAGAATATGATTTTTTAGCATCTATAGAATTATTGATTATGGATCAATCTGAATTGTTTTTTATGCAAAATTGGGATCATATGATACATATTTTAAATCATTTGCATTTACAGCCTAAGGAATCTCATGGCATAGATTTTTCTCGCGTAAGAAGTTGGTGCATAAATGGTTGGACGAAGTATTATCGACAAACATTAATATTTTCTGGTATACAATTACCAGAGATTCATAGTATCTTTAACAAAAGGTGTTTTAATTATGCTGGAAAGTTAAAAGTAATTAATCCAATATATCCTGGTTCTATTTGTCAAATAATTACTCAAGTACCACAAATTTTTCATAAATTCAATGCTACCAGTCATACACAATCTTTAGAGAATAGAATGGAATTTTTCATAAACAAAATATTACCACAATACAAGGATAGCGTAATGAATCACACATTGATTTTTGTATCATCTTATTACGATTTTGTAAAGCTTCGAAATTATTTGAAAAAAGAAGACTTCAGTTTTGTACAAATTTGTGAGTATTCCAAAGAAGCAAAAATAGCACGAGCAAGGGATATGTTCTTTCACAGCGATGCACATTTTTTACTCTATTCAGAGCGTTTTCATTTTTTTCGAAGGATACGTGTTAAAGGAATTCGACATATTATATTTTATGCTTTACCAACAATTCCACATTTCTATAGTGAAATTTGTAACTTGATGCAAGAAGCTAATCAAAATCCTAAAGCAGGTTTAGAAAGTAATATGACTGTAACTAGTATATATTGTAAATACGATGTTTTTGCATTAGCTGGTATAGTTGGTACAGAAAAAGCGAGTAAAATGATTGCGTCAGAGAAATCAGTGCACATGCTTATTACAAGCGAATAATTTTTGCGTGTTTGATCGACTGTTGATCTTCTTTTTTTTTTTTTTTTTTTTTTATACAAGCATATTGATGTATAAAGAATAAATATATTTTTCTATGTATATTATATACGAATATTTGTATAAATACATAAGTATTTTTGAAATCACTTTATATATCACGTAAAACGTACATATATATATATATACAAGACTCTATTAAAAAATGTAATATAATAATACGTTGAATAATGAAAGATATAATCTTTAATCAAAGGATTTTATTATTACCCTAAAGAGCTACATACAGAATTTATTTCAAATTTTTCAAGTATAATAACAATACACAACGTCATCTTATTTTGAAATTTAAATAATACATAAATAGAAATCTGTCTTTTAATTGAATCGTACAAATACCCGAAATAATTGTTAATATTTTCAATTCTAAAAAAAGCTAATAGAGCCGATTGGTTCGTATATATATAATAATAATAACAATAACAACAACAACAACAACAACAACAACAATGATAATTATTAAAAAATGGAAGAATATATTTTGCGTATATCGATTCAATCGATTCAATAAACTATGTATATATACATTGATAAAATTAAGAGCATCGGTTAAAGAACTGACGCTGTACAATGATTGAAAAAAAAAAAAAAAAAAAAAAAAAAAATTGAATAATCCACAATTAATTCCGACTTTTATTCTCTTCATATGTCTCGGTAATGGCAACAACATCGACCATTTGAAGTTCCGTAGACGCAACTGAGGAAGATACATAAGGTAATACTTCTTTGGATTTGGTACTTTCGGTTAATATTTGGAAAAGACTTTTTTCACGTAGAGTAGTTATAGACATTTCTGACGTGTCGTCCATTGTACCATTCGTTGTCATTGATTTAGCAGTCATCTTTTCAATCTGAGTTTCTGTAAATATTAAATAAAAAATTGTGCTGAAAAAGTTGTTAAAAAATATAAAAAGATATGCTAGAAAAAGAAATATTTATATTATATTCGATTAAATAAATATGTGTCGTGCTTTCTTTTCTTTCTTTTATATATATATATATATTTTTTTTTTTTATTATATAAAAATCCTATGATATATGATCGTTAGATATATATTACCATAAGAAAACGATGGAATTGTTAAAGAGTCAGAAGTTTTAATAGTTGCACAATCAGGTTTATGCGCCCTCGTTCTAACAGCTTGATGCTCCGGGTCCCAAATATAAGTATAGTACAAGGAAAGAAGAATGGCGGCCATGCTAACGAATATGATGTACGCTATTACAGTCAATACACGTACTAATTTTTTCTTATGCTTAGGTTCATACAATTTATCCTTTCTTTCTTCACCAGCGAAACGAATCTCGTTTGCTTGTACTTTTTCACGAGTACCCAAAGTACGAGTTATGCTTGCCACTACATTTTGAGCGCTCATCTTTCTTGGAAGCTGCATCTTCGATCTAAATCCATTAAGATTTCAATGTATAAGAGATTTTTTCTTTTTTTTTCTTTCTTTTTTTCTTTTTTTTTAGGGATTTGCTTGTATTTTTTGACGATGATTTAAGAACGAACGTATTCCCGATCCGCGATTCGAACAGATTCGTCATTGAAAAAAAGGAAAAAGAAAGAAAAAAAAGACTCGATAATTACATCTTTCTTTTTTCCTTTCTTTTTTATTTTTTTTGTTATAAATTTAATTAATTCATTCATCAGTAATTAATACTTTTCTAATTTTTAAAATTCTAGTTAAACGAATTGGTTGTAAGTCGGTAATATATTTATGCACGTAGCCATCGTATATAGATACACGCACACGCAAACAGACATAGAGACACGTACATGTTAATTAATTCTTTGTGTTTATTATCAAGACTTGGCGCATGCGATCGTATCATATTATATATTGCATTCGATGGACTCTCGTAATAGTAGAAAATCGTGCATGTATGTAATATGATAAATGTCTATGTGCATTCTAACCTAGTGAAATACTTCTCATTATGATTTTACACAACACACGCGCGCATATGCACACGCATACGTATACACACGATTGTTGTTTTGACAAGAATGACTAAGTGAACATATATTTTATATGAATTGCTCGACGGATTGGTAGTAAGAAAGAGATAAAAAATAATAAAGAAAAAGAAATATCTTTGTGTGTGTGTGTATATATATATTTATATATATATATATATATATATATATATATGTGTGTGTATATTTTGTGTGTTGTTAGTCTCTTACATATTAAAAGCACGGCACCTTCTTCTTCTTCCTCTTTTCTTCTTTTTCTTCTTCTATCGCTCGGCTATTTCTCTTTCTCTACTTTTCTTTCAGATCGACCTTATAACGCTTTGCCGTTTTTACTACTAAAAGCACACCCAGCTCAGAAAATATCAGAATATGCGTCTTGCAAGCTCCCCTAATGCGCAAACTCGACCAATACGTGAACTCAAAACCCAGGACGATAGAAAGAAAGAGAGAAGCTTTCGCGCGCGCGTACGTGCACACACACACATTTTGTATAGCTTTTAGTTTTCATTTTTCCTTCATGTATTTACTTTCTTCGAATTTTTTCTCGAAACATTCTTTTTCACAAGCTTCCCTTTTTTCTTTTTTTATTTGATTTGATTTGATTCGATTCGATTCGATTCGATTTGATTTGATTAGATTTTTTTCTATTTATTTTTATTTTGTTGGTGCTTTCCTTCTTTATTTTTTTTTTTTTCTTTTTTTATATATATATATTTTCAAACGTTTCTGGCAAACATCGATAAATCATATGATACTCGTATCTCACATTCGAACGTATACAAATGAAATTTCATTTCATGCTTTTATTCATCCTCATAAAGTTCTTTTCAAAATAATCTATTAGAAAAAAGAAAAAGAAAGAAAAAGGAAAAGAGAGAAATAATAAAGAAGATAATCATTTGCATAATCATATGAAGATATTCCATTTCTCTTAATTTCTTTTTCTTTTTTCTTTTCTTTTTTTTTCTTTTTCTTCTTACGGCTTCTAACGGCTAACGACGACGAAATCTCATATTCCTTTCATAAATATAAATCTTCATGAATTTCGAATTATTTTTTTTTTCATGTTATATAAAGCGAATTTTATCCCGGGCATATCCTTAAACTTTGGTGAACTCTGACCTTGGTACAGAGGAGTGGTAAAGATAACAAATTTTTTTCCGATAAGACATTCGACATTTTTGTTTCTTTTTTCTTTTTTTTTTTTTTTCGAAGATCGATAAAAAAGAAAAAAGAAAAGAGAAAACTATTCTTTTTGAAATCCCCAATGTATCTTGTATGATTATGATGGCACACCTTTGTTTCTGTCGAAATGATGTGCGTCAGAATGAATATAACGTTCTTTTGCTTTGGCAAACACGGATCGTTCGATCAAACCCATATTATTTTATTCGTTTAAATGTTCGAATTCAGGAAAAATTATATTTAGACGATGCTAAAGAAGTTCTTGAATTAATCATATTTAGTCGATTAGAATTCGATCGATGTATTATATTACGAAAGAGATGCAATTTATGAAAGAAACTTCTTATGTTTTATGCAACTCATCCGTCAACTGATGTAACTAAGATTAAAAGAAGCCATAACGGAATCGAACTGACCCTGTTACACTTATTACGTTCACAATAAGGGGATGATTATCCTAGCACGTTCGTACATCCATATCGCTACCCTTATTTCTAAGGCTTTAATCGTCTCTTTCCCCTCAACCCCTTTAGCTTTTTCTCCAACCTTCTTACACCGATTCCTTTTCTTTTTCTTTTTTCTTTCCCTTTCATCGATAATATTCCATAATGAAATACTTAAATGGATAATCATATTTAACCGGACGTAACTCTGTATTATTTGATTAAGGAATATTTTCAATTACGTACAAAGCAAAGTTTATTGCTTTACGAAATTTTATATTAACATGAATATTCTTCATATATATATATATATATATATATGTATGTAGTAGTACGTCGAGTTCAAATATACATACGTCAAAGTCAATATGGTGTACCATTGATTATTTCTTTATTTATTTTCATCGTTAGATATCCATTTGCAATTTATAGAGTCTCTAATAATCATGATTCAACTGTTTATATATATATATATATATATATATATATATATATATATATATATAACTAAACATAAATTATAAGACTCGAAATGTTATTTTCTTTTTTGACTCGTCAATCAAATCAAACGTTGACTAATCAATCCAAACGTTCATTTAAATTCAAATAGGAAATTAAGAAAGTTTTAGTCAAATTTATTATCCTAATAATCGTCGTGGTCGTCGTCGTCATCGTCGCTGTTGTTTTGTTTTAAAGAATGGATAAAATAAACACACGAGTCTAGAATCTAAAAGGAGAAAGATCTCTGGATCGTTGGAAAGTGAACGAAGCTGACGCAACTCGTTGTATAATAAACCAAACCATACGAGTACAGCCTGTTTATGCGACTACGAAAAGCGTTCTATAAATTTTCTCTAAATTCTCTAAGCATCCCGCCTTGGTGACTGTTTTATACGACAACCGTGTTGGAAACTATCCTACAAAGTATGAGATATTTACAATCGAAATAAATTTCGTTATCCATTTATACGATTTATGATGAACGATATTTAAAAATCTAATCGGATCGTTTTTTTTTTCTCGAAAAGAAAGAAGAGAAAAATAAAAGAAAAGAAAAAATGAAATGAAAGAAAAGAAAAAGAATTCTTTTACCCAATTTATTTACTTACTTTCTTTATTATTTCCCTCTTCGTTTTGTCGTCGATCATCCATCGAATTGTTATAAATAATTTTATCCGTTAAAGTCGTATCCTCCAATTCGTCCTTTTTCTCTCGTCGATCGATTGAATATCTCGTTGTGTTATAATTCTTTTGAAGATTTTTCCATCGTGAATTTAGTTTCTCATTTATCTTCTCGTAATTTTCATTGTTACCACGTGTAATAAAATATTCTCCGATCGAGGAAGAATCATTGTTGTTGTTTCTCTCGCGTATAAGTTCGGCCAGGGTAGTTTTCAAGGACGTTAATGATTCCTCGAAACCATCGTAATCGAGAGTACGTTCCTGCTTGTGTTCCCGTGTTCTTTCGATAGAATTATTATTACTCGATGATGAATCCTGTGAGATCGTTTCTTTTAAATGCGTTTTGGATGGTAATTCGACACGAAGAAAACTTAATTGCGGATCGGCCCTTAAACGAATCGCGGTGCCGTGCATAAGTCGTGGATTCGGTGGTTCCCAAAGGAATATATAATAAGCGCTTAATACGATTGCGACGAAACTTACGGAGAACATGTACGCCAGGACCGTTATAATGCGCACTATTTTTTTCGGTTCTTTGCTCTCGTAAATACTAGCATTTACATCTTTCACGGCAGCATCCCCTGGACTACCGCCAGCGGATGAGTCTTGGCAGCCTGATTCTCCACTACTACCGTCTTTGCTCATTTTTATTTAGATCTTTTCAATGCAACGATTTGTTGATTCTCTGGTAATCATGATCCAATTGTTTTATATATATATATATATATACAAAATTTTTATATATGTTTTATATATAAAACTTTAAGAGCATGAATTAGAAGACTAAATTCTTTGTTTTTCTTCTTCTTTTCTTTTTTTTTTTTTTTTGAAACCTAGCGTGTAACTTCTTCCTAAATTTTCTCTTTACATTTTTTAGATAAATAAAAGAATAATAAAGAGAAAGAACAACGGATCGTAGTAGTCTTTTGGAAGCGAAAGCGCGCGCGCTACTGCAACTTCTCGAGGAATGATCGTGGAAAAGCTCATTCCTTCGGCACGTGTTCGGCGAGGGTTGCGCACGCGTTCTCTCTCTCTCTCTCTCTCTCTCTCTTTCTTTCTTTTTCTTTCTCTTTCGTGACACGCTGCTACATTTTCCCCTCCAACCGTTTAATTTCATAATTCATCTATTGATACAAACGGTAGAAAGTTACAGCGATATTATAGGATGTAAAATACATAGCTTAGATTAAAGTGAGATTAAAAAATTTTTTTCATCCACGATCATCGGTCTTTACTGCTTCCTGTGTATATTTATACAAAACGTATCGTTGATTGATAATACACATTATTCCGTTTATGCATACATACATACATGTACATATATATATATATATATATGTATATATGTATATATATAATCTCGTACACAGTTACTTATAAACATTTTTCCCCCCGACACATTTCTTGATTTATAAAAATTTGTCTTCACATACGCACACACACACACATAACACACACACTGTTTAATATATATTTTTCTGGTCATTGTGTATGTACACACGTTTAAATGGTCGATACCCGCGTCGTTTGCTTACCAGTCAGCCATCTTGATCTTACGTCACGTGTTTAGAAGCGATCGTCTCTCTCTCTGTAAGTACATATAAACTTTGCACTAAGACAAGATATCAAATATCTTTTATAGATACGTGGATATAAACAAAATATACGTATCGATATAATATATAAGATTCTAATATGAATAATTGTCTTCCATATTAAATTCGTCAAAATGTGAATTGATTAGTGATATGTTCTATGATCGTGACATGTTTCTTCGAAAAATGTTTCATCATTCGATGGAATAATTCGTTCGATACAGCTATAATTTTTTAACGGTTACGTATATGTATATTTTTATTATATTAATCAATTTATTCGATCAGATAATTTTTCTTATTTTTTAACTGTCAATCCACGATGAAACTGTAAACATAACCTATGCCTGAATGACGTTGTTAAGATTTAAGTTAATAATATCGTTACGTTTGTATATAGCTTTTGGGATTTACCTTGATGTATCTATAAATATGGACGACGAAGAATATCTTCAACCTGTTTTAACTTCTCAAGAAGAAGATAATTTTCAAAAATTGGATACCTTACCCATCGTGTCGATATCATTACTCTATGGTGTAAGTATGCATTATATGTTAACATTATAAAAAATAAATAAGATGTATTATACAAAATTTAAAATTCTTTAGGTAGCATTAGAAATAGTCGGAATTGTATTCATCTCGGTATGGCCCCAAGAAGAAAACAAATGTGATACTTATTTCATATACTTATACCTTCACTGTTTATATTGGTTAATAGTTATGATCACTGATTATGTTGTAAAAGCCAAACACCATACATTAAGAATTTGGGGATATCTTGATTTTTATCAATCAACTTATCAACATATAAGAACACCTCTTTTTATAACATCACTATGGAATACATGCTATTTGTTGTTAGCTGTAATTTTACATCATACTCATAAAATGAATTATGAACAATACTGCAGGGCATCGGAATGGTTAACACCTATTAATTATATTATATTCTTGACTACCATAGAGTTTATGGTAATCGTTCCAGTTTATGTGAATTATATAAGTAAGTATATTTTATATTTTATTGATAAAACTTATCTTATTCATGTTTCTCAAATTCTTTTTACATTTCATTTTGGCAGAAAGAGTTATAAGATTCAATAGGTTACGCCCTTTACCAGATGTTAAAAGAGAGGAATGGTTGTCATCTTTTACCCAAGATTCTTATGCAAGCAGTGGTGAAATTGGATACCATCATAGAGGCTCAAATTTAGAAGAATTACTTGAAAAACAAGCTGACTTAATAAGATATTTACGAGACCATAATGTTCAATTGAGTCATAGAATAATGATATTAGCATCTCGCCAAAGAGTTCGAGAAGTTTAGATGATTGATAGTCACCATTGAAATCAAAATGAAATAACTAGGAATTTAAAACATAGCTTGTAAGTATGTAAATTTAAGTGCACGCACAATTGAATATACTCATTTAAATTAATGGATATTGAAAATATTTTACATTATTTTTTTTTATCCATTTGGTATTTTGTTATATTTATTCATTAGAAGAATGATCGAAATTTCCTGTTTTTTTTTTTTTCTTTCTTTTTCGTTACCTTTTGGCAAAGGTTTTATCAACGATTTCTTTAAAATATATTTGCGTGTTCGCTCATTGGTAATATTTCATGCAGATACATATAAAGCGATTATATAATAGATTTCTTATTTTGCTTATATTTTTATTTTATCATTCATAAAAACATCTTGGTTACATGTAATTTTTGCATAAATTATTAATACATTTATTAACGAACTTGTGAAAAAAAAAATTATATATATATATATATATGTATATATATATAAGCTGCTTTTGAGTAACATGGAAGATTAGATTGACTTTTTATACGCTAATTAAAAAAATTATGTAATTATAAATTCGATAGAACTTAATTTTTTTGTAGTGTTGTTTTGCGTGGATTTGTTAATATACATAACTCTCTAGCTATAAAATAATTATACTGCAATACTGTGATAGAAAGTGATGTATGCGTTGTTCAAACAAATAAAATATAAGTATATTTTGAAATATAGAACATACATAATATTGACTTTACATAAAACAAATTTTATATTGCATTTGAATTGGTCTAAAGGAGGAAATAATACCTCTTTTATAAATTTAACGATAGAATATTTTTTAATGTATATTTAACATAATTAACATTTAATAATTACATACTTTATAATAATGATCTCTTGTCCTGTAGAAAATGCAAAGAGAGAAAGAAAAAAAGAGAAGGTATACTTGTAACGTTTATTTTGCTTAAGGTTTATTAATGTAATCGACGAAAGGAAAGATATTACATTTTCATATACTTCTTAAAAATATGATAATTTCATTAGAAAATTGGTGGTACATCTGTATGTATATATACATAATTGTTTCCTTTTAATTATTATATTGTTAAGAAATTTACAATATAGTAAAAACAGATTAGTTAAATTATTTTTATGCTCGTTATTTAGTTTATTTTCTACAGTCTTTCCGAACATCTTTACAAGATTATTGCCTTACAATGTCGCTTTCTTAAATTTCAGATATTCATGCTTTTCCATTGAATTATATTATTTTATTAAACAATTTGTTTACTTGTTTTTTTTTTTCTTTTTTATTTTTTCTTTTTACTTTTTTTTTTCTTTTTCTGCAGATAGTTCCTTGGTTATTTGTCTTCGTAGATTATAAAATGTATTCTCATCTAAATACATAAATACATATGTATCATGCCAGATAAGATACTTGCTACCACTTACAATATTATAAAGGTACTTGGCAATGATACTTAAGTTTTAATATTTTTCTATAATTTGAAGATTATCATTATTTACGTCTTGTGTTAGAATAATTTTTTTTCTATATTTCTTATTACAAATTATAAAGATACCATAGCATACTAAATGGATGTAGTGTATTAAAAAAAAAAAAAAAAAAAAACCACAAGATCCCTGATCTAAATAAGATAAGAAAATACAAATTTCGCAACTTTATCAAACCTTACAACTTGCAAATGGTATTCATAATATTCGTAACATAATGACAGGCAATAGTGATTAATTACTTAGCATGTTATATCGTAATTACAATTTTTTTCTTTCTTTTTTTTTTTCTTTTTTTCTTTCATACAATAATATCTCGTTGCTTTTACTTATTGTTAGATGCGAATCTAATCTCTGTACTTTTTTTTATGTATTTATTTAACTTTTTACTTTTTTATTTATTTTTTTTTTTTTTTTCTTTCTATTATTACACTTGAGGTTTTCTAATGCGTAAACACATTTATTAATACCTACGTATATTGTAGCCAAGGATAATTGATTCAATTTGTATATATGTACTGTATAATATATATATATACGCACATATATACAAATGATCAGGATAAATGACGACTCCTTACTTCGTATTTTAGTTATTAGACAAGCGACATATATGTATATATATATATATATATATATATATATATATATATACATATATATATATCACTTTCCATTAATTGTTTCGTTTTTCGCGCAGAAATATTATCTTACATTATTTATAATATATATTTAATATTATATTATTATATAATATATATTTAATATATAATATATATATATATTAATATATATATTATATATATAATAAAGTATATCGTACAAAGGAATCTATATATGTACAAGAGTATCGCAAATATCTGTTCCTACTTATAGCGATAGGCCTGTATTTCATTAATTAACATTACGTAGATATCAATATAGAAAACTAATTTACACTTTGGAACACTGAATTTTCTACGTTATTAAATACCGCAGATGCATAGATAGATATATGGTCGTATTGCGCATCATGAAATTCTACGTACGAGAGCCGATGTATATCTCGTTCGATTTGACATCGAAAGGACCATTCGTCATTTTCTTCTTTTTATTCGTCTTCATAATCTTCTATCGATCTTCAGATATCTTTTTTTTTTTTTTTAGATATCTCGAACGATAGAAATATTCTCTCATTCTTGTTTTATATCAGCCTCTTTCTTCCTTTTTTTTTTTTTTTCTTCTTGTAATAAGATTTTTTTCTAGTTGAAAAATTTGTACTACGCTTAGGCCAACCGTTTCCACTTTGTTAGCTACGCGTTTAATGGATTAGAGTTTTTCTTCAAAAATTCTCACTACTCTCTGTGAACATATATATGTATATATTTATATATATATATATGTATATATATTTGTTATTGTTTATTTATTTACTTTTATTTATTATTTTTTTTCTGTCTTTCTTTCTTTCTTTTTTTCTTTCTATACTACGCATCGTAAGTAATCGCTCATTATTGTCACAATTATTACACTAAATTATTTTTCTTTTTCTCAGAGGTATTCATAATATTCGTTTTCTTTGTCGTCAAAACGAAATCGTCTTCGTATTTCTTTTCTTTTCCTTTCTTTTCTTTTTTTTCCTACGATACAATCTTTACTTCATTACGATGCGATTTTACTACCAAAGTTATTTTTCCACTGGAGAATAAGAAAAGAGAAAAGAAAATATCGCGGAGAGAGAGAGAGAAGACGTGTAGATATACATCCATATGTAGATACGTATATATATATATATATATATATATATATATATATATATATATATATATATACATATGTAGATATTTTTGCTCTAACAAACCTCGTGATTCGAAGGTTATGTACGTTTCTCTATAAACCGACGATAACTATAGAATGGAAACGGTGGATGAAGTCGTCAATTATTTGACATTTACTCGACAAAATCGATCGATTATTTTATTGTATTTATTATTTTCTATGTGCGCCGCAAAGACTATAAAAAGAATTCTCTATATCTATTCGAAGAAGAAATGCAAAACCAAACGAAATAAAAATGAAACAAAAATAAAGGAAAGAGAAACGAAAAGATAAAGGAAAAAAATTCTTATATACATGTCCTAGATATATCATATACATATATAAATATATATATATATGTACGTATATATTCATATATATATATATATCTAATAATTGTGAGTATAAAAAGAGAATTTGTTCGACGCGCGGAATCGGGCGGAATCGCGCTGAGTCGGGCGGAATCGTGAGGAATCGGGTGGAATCACGCATGCGTACTAGCAACTACAGTTCCAGTTCCAGTTCCAGTAGCAGTAGTACCATCGACGTGCGTCGACGATAGCTGTTCCTCTGCCTCCATCATTTTTAATTTTCTTACGACCTGAGCATGTTCTTCCAATAACCTAGCAAATTCGTCCCGTCGAATTTCGGCTTCGACTTGCATTCGTTTGATTCTTTCTCTGATACCACTGGGACTATCCAATGGCGAGTGTCCTGAAGAAGAATTTTCCGTACTGCTGTTTTCATTCGACGACGAGGTGCCATCGATCAGGCCAGGATTTTCTTCTATTTGCGACACACGAGAATCGACGTCGTACACCGTCAAACTGGAAATATTCAAAAGAAATTAACAAAAAGAAAGAGAGAGATTTTTTTTACATTATATTACTTTTTTCTTTCTTATAATATATATATATATATATATATATATATATATATTTTGTTTTTTTCTATACTAATGTAATGGACTAGTTATTTATGGTATTATTTGGATAAGATAGGTTAAGTTATATTAAGACGATTTTAAAGTGATAGTTAAAAGAACAAAAAAACGTCACGTTCGATATATGTATCTATGATCTATATATATATATATATATATGTTCGATGTATCTATATGATGATGACATATACCTAAAATGAGTTCGCTATATATATGTACATATATATTTATAGAGATAAATTTCTCTTTATTCGTTTTTGGAAAATTTTTTTGAACGATAGCTTATAGTTCTTTAATAAATGGGTTATCTTTCTTTTTTTTTTTTTTTTCCTTTTCAACTGTATCATTAATTTTTTTTATGATACGTATATAATTCATTAATAAGGAATTATAAATTCCTTTTTTAATTTTTTTTTCTTTTTATTGTTTAAAATAATAATAATAATTTATCATTTATCTTTAAATTATATGATAATAAACTTTAGGAAACGTACCATTAATAAATGAAACGAATGATTTAGAATTGAGAATCGGGTTCATACAATAAACGGATTTAGCTGAGCTCTCTTAAATTCGATTAGTTCAGGTCTCTATGTTGATAACATGCTTAGAGATAAAAATATAGGATATGAGGAGATCGATGAGGAAAATCTTTATCTAATTTCTCTCGAAACAGTCTCTAACCGTTTATCGATCGTAATAGAATTTTAACGAAGAAGTCGCGACATTCTCTCTCTCTCTCTCTCTCTCTCTCTCTCTCTATTGTCGTCTAAAAGCAAAGAAATGAAAAATATATAGGATAGGCTAAAAGTTCCTAAATTATAAAAAAGAAAAAAAAAAAGAAAAAAAACAATCACTCTTTTTTCTAGACTTTTTAGATATCTATAATTTGGCTTGTAATTGTACGATATCAAAAAACAAAACGATAAAACGTCTAATAAATTTCGAAAAAGACTAATTGATTGTTAATATAATCTAGGAACTTTGAGCCTATTTAGGAATCTAGGGACTGCATTTTAATTGATTTTTAAATCGATGATCAAAGAATATTCATTTATGAAATAAATTTTTGTGTAAGTACACACACACACACACACACACACACACACATATGTGGTTTCTCGGATCGGATCGATCGTTGGTTGGACGACGTATAACAATTGTCATTTACGTCAGTGTCTGTTACGTCATTAGATGGCCAAGTACATAGGCTAAATTCGTTTTACGATCGAGATGATGGAGGGAAAGTTGTGATTCATTATCGTCCATATATATATATAGATATATATATATATATATATATATATATATATATATACATACTCCTTTCCTCTATATTGCATTTTTAATATAATGAAATATTTTTGAAAATGTTCCTCTTACCTGCAGACTCGTGGGATTTTCCTTCCCGACGGCATGGTCAATGATATGTTAGGTAACGTTCCTAAAAAATAAAAAAAGAAACAGAACGGTTAAATATTATCTTCGATTTTTTTTTCTCTTTTGTCTCTTTTTTTTTCTAAACAATTAATCTCTACGAAATTATATTTATTATAATTAATTTCAAAGGATATCGTTTTTTTATGTGTACGTTCGTGCGTAGATGCATACGTGTGTGTGTGTGTGTATGTCGTTTATTTTTAAATAATATGAAAATATAACATTCGTTATGTTATACTTTTATTATTATTATTTATATATATGTTATATAATACTGTTATATAATATTTATATATTATATTTGTTTTATTGATTTTATATTAAATTTGTTTTGTTGAATATTCATTTGTTAGATTTTTGAGAATAACAAAAATGAAAAAGAGAGAAAGAATATTTCTTTTCTCGAATTACATAATTAAGAAAGAAGAAAAAAAAAATAAATAAATGGTGTATAAGATCGTATGACGGTGTCCTGTTAAATAGAAACTAGATAATAAATAGAGTAGGTACGATTAAAGGAACGATGTTCCCTCTCTCTCTCTCTTTCTCTTTCTCTGTCTCTCCCTCTCCTCGTGGTTAACTAGGCTCTCATTAATTTAAGATAACTCTGACGTGAGCATACCATACGTATACTCACAGCATCCTACATACATTATATTATATTTTATATATATATATATATATATATGTGTGTGTGTGTGTGTGTGTGTGTGTGTGTGTGTGTACATACATACACACACATACACGTACGTTGCGTAGAATAGAAATGGAGCATGTTAAATGATTTTTCCTTTCTCTAAATTTCGATTTTAAATCAATGAATGCTATCATTCATGTATTATATATAATAAAAATAAACGTATTAATACGAGTATATAACAAGTATGTATATATATATATATATATATATATATATATTATTTGTATCAACAGTTTTTATTTCTGTTAAAGTTGTAAGAAAACGAAGAAAAATATTTTTCAAAATAATTTCTTAATTTTATTGACATTTTTATATGTTACAAATCAAAGGTAAGAAATAAAATGAGAGTGTGTGTCTCGACGTTGATACGATTAAAATTGAAAGAACAAAGAACATATATATACCTATATATAAACGTAGAGGTATATTATGAAAATACATAAGTGTATACGTATGTGTGTACGTGTAATCAAAGAGACGTGTATGTTAAGAGGGATCTTTTTCATTATTTACGGCTTGGCAGAACTTTCGATATTGTATATCCTTTACTACATTTGTGTATATATATATATGTGTGTGTGTGTGTGTGTGTGTGTATGTGAGTATATATATACTTATATTTTATCACTAAAACTCGAAAACTTTCGATAAGACAAGATGAAACATATGTATATATACATATATAAAGTTATTTCTTTTTTTTTATTCGGATTCTGGAGTCACTTTCAACGAGATAAACCAATTGATAAGTCATTGTTAATTGCAAGTTGTTCGTTTTAAGATCGATCATTAGCATGTTAGACGTAGAGTCTTTTAAAAATAGTATCTCGTAGCCGGAGTTCCGATTCGATCGGAACCTTGGCCTCGTATAAACTTTAGGATCCATACATATATATATATATATATATATATATATATATATATATATATATATACATATCCATCGTTCAATGCTTATCGACATTGGTAATTAATCGTTTTACTTAAGATTGTCTTTTATTTGGATCCGTCCCTATGATTATTTCAATAACTTTACGATCATAATATTTGTAACATTTGCGATTATTCTTGATTTACTTTTTTTTTTTTTTTTTTTTTTTTTTTTTAATATACTTAATCATTCCACAATTTATATGAAAATTTCATTTTTTCCCTTTTTTCTTCGAGCCGTAAAATTAATCAGTATTTAACTAAATACGATTAAAAATTATTCGTTTGTTTAGATACGAGCTTAATATTATTTAATATTATTTATGATTGATATAAGATCGATAGGAATATTTTTTTTTTTCGTTCGATTCGAATCGAAAGGGAAAGAAAAAGAGGAGGAAGAAGAAGAAAAAAAAATCTACTCACCTATCACCATTTCACGAATTTTAACTTAATCGTAGCAGCGTGATTAACGTTGCTCTGTCTGTCTCTCTCTCTCTCTCTCTCTGTATGTCTGTTTGTTCGTATTAATGATTACTCGTCAGACACAAAATCCGATGAAACGCCGGCGAACTATCTCACGAAGATAAAATAAAAAGATAAAGGATCGCGATCGCGATCGCGAAAGAGAACGATCTTTGCACTTGAAGCGTCTCGCGCGGACTGATCGTCGAACTCTGGCGCTGCGCGCGCGACGTGACCCGTACAAAAGGGGTAAAGAGGGGTAAAGAGGGGGGTAAGAGTAGGACAGAAGAAGGACAGGAGGAGGACAGGATAGAATAGATAGATAGATGGATGGATAGAGATAGATGAAGAGTTAGATAGAGAGAGTAAGAGGAAAGTTGCGCACGTCAGGGACCGTGGAAATTTCCCCTTCTTTACCCCTTCGCCCCCACCCTCCACCTTCATCTGCCACCCTCATCCCATCACCCAAAACTCTATCTCTTTCAGAATAGAACGAAAAAGAAGAAAAATAATAATTATATCAATCCTTTATAATGTCCGCGTAACTTTGAACTCGCTCGTATTTATGTATTTTTCCGTTTGACGAATTTTTATTGTAGATTCTCTTTTTTTTCTTTTTTTTTTTTTTCTTTTTTTTCTTTTTTTTTCACTTCTTTCTTTTGTTCTCTATTAGACAATTAATTGTCACCTCGATTATTTCGCAATTATTAATAATATAAATATTGTCATAGCTTATAATTAATATACTCGGTATGGTATTTAATTTATAACAGCGCACAAGTGATAAATATTATTTTTAACTTTATATAATTACTTTTTCTTTTTGGACGATAACAAAAGTTAATTTTTAATGGGTTTTAATAATAAGTTAATAACACTTCTTATTGTTACAAATTTTCTATTAGTTTCATTTGTGTTATTGTTTTTGAGTTTTTCTCTTTTATCCTTTTACAATGCTATACTATAATGATCGATCATTAGTACATTGTACTCGAGTTTGTTATGAAATAGAAAACATATATATATATATATATATACTTACTTTAAAAATTAAGTGAATTTAATTATATATAAATATAACGATCGCAAGGAGCGTGGTTGAATGAATGACGATAGAGATTCAGTGGAATTCAGGGTCACACGATTTCAGGAGTCGGCCGCTAAATTATTTCGGTTCCTTGCTAATTTTGTCGTGGTATTTCATGGCGTTCGCCATGACTCTGCACGAAGAAAGACGACTCATTCGTTTTATTATATATGATTCTTTCTCTTTCTTATCTCGATAAACTTTCAATTTTTAAGTAATTAAAAAATCTGCAAAAAAAAATAAATTATTTAAACATATATCGAATATTATATAATTATATACTATAATTATTTAGTGTATATATATATATATATAATTACATATACATATATGTATCTATATATCTATATATATATATAAAGTAAATATTTTGCTGAGAGAAGCCATAAGGAGTGTAAGAAATCAAATCTCAAAACTAATAAATCGTATTTTGTTTTAAGGATCTTTCGTAAGATCGATCAAACTCATGAATTTATCGATTTATCTGAATATCTATGAAGATCTATGAGAAAAAAAGAGAGAGAGAGAGAGAGAAAGAGAGAGAAACCGTTCGATTAAATCTCGTGCGTCACAACGATGATATAGTACTTGTCGAATTGAAAGAACGTTTCTCTCTCTCTCTCCCTCTCTCTCTTTTCTTTAACGTGCCTGGAAGGAAGATGAAATCATCTTGTTCTTTCATTATCCGATACATAGATAAGAACGTGCGTCAAAGGTGATATCGCTCTCGTATCTTATCGATTTCTCCTCTCTCTCTCTCTCTCTCTCTCTCTCTCTCTCTCTCTCTTTCTCTCTTTTTCTCTCTTTTTCTCTCTATCTATCTATCTATCTATCTATCTAGCGTCGTACGATTTCTCGATCATAATCGCATCTCGTAAATAATACTTCTCTCTTAAAATATGTTTTATAAAGAAGATGCAAAGGAAGGAAGCTGTTCTATCTTTTGCATGAAAGTTCAATGATCAAACATAAAACGTGACTTCGTGACAACTTTTCAAATCGAGAATAACTTAATACTTTTTTATTTTCTTATTTTTTTTTCTTTTTTCTTACTTTTTCTTTCTCTTCTTTTCTAATCTCTCTTTCTCTCGCTCTCTCTCTCTCTCTCTCTCTTTTTTTCTTCTTCCTTTTCCTTTAGAACTCGTCACGAAATAGTGATGTATGTTTTAACGAGGTGGGGGAAGGGGAGGAAAGAAAGAAAGAAATAAGAAAAAGAAAAAGAATAAATAATTGCCCTTTTCTCGATTTGTTCTAACCGATGACACAATACCTACTTCAAACAATAGATACCTTCATAGACAATAGTTAATAAGCTACTAGAGGTTAGTTCGAAGTTTCAAAACTCTATAGTATAAAACGATGCGCTTGACCTGCTTTAACCGTACAGACTCTAGGTAAGGTTTAGAAATAAATGCTCCCTGAGACGGATCAGATTCTAGACAAATTGATTTACGTTCGTTTAGCTCGAAATAAATTATATTATAATAAATGATATATATAATATATTAGAATGGTATATATATATATATATTATTTTATTAATATGTTTTATTAATATCTATGGATTGTTATTCTAGACGAATTACCTCTCATAGTATAGTTAATACATTATAATAAATAATGTAACAAAC